CAATACTAGAATGTGCCCTCAGGAGGAGGACAAGGAAAGCAAAGCAAGAAGCACTGTTGCCACTCAACTGCACCTGAACCAGAGGAACAGCCAGTGCCGGTAGTGGTTGCTCCTACAAATGAAGAAGTCCAAGACCAAATCAGTTCACTTAGTTAGTTGAAGAGAAAGTAGGGCCTTCATGACAGGAGGAAGAGGGAGAGCCAGATCCCCTGTTCCCTATCCCTGGGTGAGCTGTGAGATATGTGAAAAGATTTCAGCTGCCAGTCAGGTGACCTGGCGGCTCTGATGCTCAGGTGTTGTGGCCCATGATATGAAACTAGGTGGTAATGAGGCTGAGGAGCTGGGATCCCTGTCCCAGGATCTGGCACTGACGAGGGCATTGGGAAGAGGGCAGAAGCTCTCAGCCCTTGGAGGTGACTCCTGTCAAGCGTGAGAGAAAGGTTCTCTCTCAGGGATGATCTAGTAGTGCACCCAGGCAGGTGGGGCACCATGGAGAAAGGTATCCAGAACCTGGGAGAATGAGTGTTCTGGAGGTAGTCTCTAGGGATTCAAATAAGGTGCAGTCCCCTGTAGACCTGGATGAGGTCCAGAGTGCACAATCCACGTGGCAGAAGTTTGTACGGAGCACATGATCATCGTACACCAACTCTCTGGCATCCATGTCCGTGACAGGAGGAGGAACAAAGTGCTTTAGGTGATTACCTAGCTACAGCCATGTGATGGTCATCTTTTTTCCTCCCTACTGACCTGCACTTTGTCTGTGGAAAGACTGTCCAAGACTGCAGACAGACTCAAAAGGTTCAAGTAAGGTAGAGAGGAAATGTCCCATGCCCCACCAGTATGGACTTGTGTCTCTGCTATTGGGAGCAAGTGGACCCCTTCAAGAGAGAGGGTACTGATGATGAGCAAACCTGTGATTTTTGTTGCATGATCGTGGAGACGATGTGTGGAAGTGGGATAGAAAATTCTCCTGAAGACTGCTTTTGCCATAAACCAAAGTAAGGTCAACTTACTGCCCAGGAAATTCAGTTAGGAATAAAATTCAGTTTAGGAGTAAAATGACAGGATGGATGTCATCAAATTCCAATGGATGTGGTCAACACATTAATATCTGTGATCCCCGCCAACCAGCAAGCAATAAGCACAGTCTTTCCTAGGTGCTGTGAGTTTTTGAATGATATGGGTTTAGGATTACAGTCAGATTGAAAGCCCTCTCGATCAAGTGACCTGAAAGAAGAATGATTTTAAGTGGGGTCCTGAACAACAAGCTTTTGAAAAAATCAAACTGGAAGCTGATCATGCAACAGCTCTTGCATTGTCATGACAGGACAAGACATGAAAAATGTGCTCTACATTGCAGGTGGGGAGAATGGTCCTTTCTGGAGCCTCTGGAAAAGTGTATCTGGGGATGCTCAAGAAACCCCTTGGGTTACGGACTCAGAGATGTTCTTGGTTGTGGAATGGCACTCCCCAGTGCAGTGCCCCCACTGAGATTCTCCAAAACCACATGCCTCTCTCTCCCACTCCATCTTCCCCTCCCCCTTTCCACTGCAGTGGGGTGAAGCTGAGAACTGGAGACACAAAAGGCAAAAGATCATGGTTTGAGATAAGAACAATTTACTGGAAACTGCAATTTGATAAGAAAAAAGCAAACAGTAACAGCAACAATGTTAATTTAAAAAGCATACAAAAAAAAAGAGGAGTGATCATGCAGAAATGCTCACTGCGGAACTTGTGACCCCAGCAGGGCCAGCCTCACTGCTCTGTCCCTCTTGGGACTGGCACTACCTGAATGTGTCTCTGGCTTGAAACCAGCTCCTTCCACTACACATATTCAACCAGAAGTAATCCCTTCTCCCCACAAGAGAGAGAGACAGGCTCAACTCTGCCTCCAGCAAAGATGTGAGGTGCTAAAGAGTAACATCTGGGCCCTAGCCATGCCCCATTGCAGCTACTGCAAGGAATTAACCCTGTCCTGGGCACAAGCAGGACAGGATCTGAGGCCTGCTACACCCCAACTGAAAGAGACCCTGGCAGTTTATGAAGGGGTTTGAGCTACTTCCAAAGTGATGCGCACCAAGCACAGCTCCTCCTGGCACCCTGACTGCCAGTGCTGGGCTGGATGTTCAAAGGGAAATTCCCTGCCACACATCATGACACTGATGCTTTACAGAGTAAGTGGAGTGTGCTGATGACACAGCAGGCTTGAACAGGAAACTCCAATTACCTAGGAATCAGGAACTGGCCCAAAGACAAAGATTTTGGATTTTTGTCAGAAGAGGACAAAGAGGAGCTGAGACATCTTGAGGAGATCCCACCATATAGTCAGCTACCAGAAAATGAAAAGTGATATACTCTCTTCACTGATGCTTCCTGCTGTATTGGAGGGACACATCAAAAATGGGAAGCTGCTGTACTGGAGTCCTATGTGGCAAGTTGCAGAAGCTGTCAAGGGACAAGATGGATCAAGTCAGGTTGCAGAGCTGAAAGCCATCCGGCTGGCTTTAGATACCACTGAATGAGAGAAATGGACAGTGCTCTACCTCTGTATTGACCCATGAATGGTAGCAAATGCTCTGTAGGTGTGGCTTGAGCGGAAAAATAAATAGGCAGTGCAGAGGTAAACCCATGTGGGCTGCTGAGCTCTGGAAAGACACCAGTGCCTATGCAGAGAAACTGGCTGTAAAAAAACATAGTGTAGATGCACACACCCCGAGGGGCTGCTGTGCTGAAGAACACAATGGACAGGTGGGTTGGGCTGCCAAGATTAAAGTGTCTTGGTTGGACCTGGACTGGCATCATAAGGGTGATTATTTCTGGCTCATTGCACCCAGGTCAACAGGGAAGAGATGCAGCAATACAGATGGGCTCGTGAGTGAGGGGTGGATTTAATGATGGTCACTGCTTCCCAAGTGATCCATAACTGTGAAGCATGCACTGTGATCAAGCAGGCCAAGTGGGTAAAGCCTCTGTGGTATGGGGGATGATGGGTAAAATATAAATATGGAGAGGCCTGGCAGATTGATTCCATAGATCCCTGGTTCAGACATCATATGGTATTGAGGGGCTAGCAAATTCCCTGTCATGCACCAGCCTCTGTTAAAGTTGAATGATACAATGGACTGTTAAAACCACATTGAAAGCAATGGGTTGTAGGACCTTCAAATATTGGGATCTGCATTTAGGAAAGCCATCTGGCTGGCTAATACCAGAGACTCTGCCAGTTGAACTTGCCTTCCTCAATCAAAATGCTCACATACTGTAGAAGGGGAGAAAAGCATAAGGTCTTCATGAAGAATATGTTTGGGAAGTCAGTTTGCATTAGCTTGTCTCAAGTAAAGGCAAACCCACCCATGGGAATGTTTTGTTCAATGACCTGGGTATGCTTGGTGGATAATGCAGAGGGACCGTGAAACAGGATGTGTACCTGAAGGGAATTTGATTTTTGAGTGACAACAGTCTGTAATGCCAAACTGTGTGTGTATTTTTGGTTGCTGGATGACACTGGCACTGTGTGCCATAACTAGCATGGATAGTGAGTACCGACTGCTCCAGATACAGTGGTCATGAGCTCGTGATGCAGCTTGCAACCACCTGACAGCACAGCAGCCCTCCTGCCCTGGAAGGCATCTAGGACAGACAGAATCCACAGCCATGAGCTCAATGAATGAACTCTACAGATATCTTGGAGGGATAGCCATTGACTATGATACCTAAGATGATACTTAAGCTTGTGTGTCTGTATGTTTATATGTATATATATGTATAGATACACATGTATATGTGTGTTTATATGTATATTCATATATGTATGTATGTAATTGTAAGGCTTATGATTTGGTCATGACATAGATGGTATAGAAAAAGAGGTGAAAAATGTCCCCATTCCTGCCAGGACAGAATTATTTTCTGCAGGAGCCAAGGGGGGCATGCCTAGGATTTAGGCGTTATTCTCCACCACCTCATATCACTGCTGGGAGTGAGGGATTCTCTCTCTTCCAGGGAGTATCACAGAATATGCTGGGTTGGAGAGGATCCACAGTGAGCATTGAGCCCTGATAGGGCTATTCCCAAGAGTCATACCATGTGCTCAAAGGTATGGGCTGGCATAGAGTGACAGAGGTAGTGGTTAGGTGTTGTCTATTGTTGAGGGGTTTCTGCGTGAAATATGAATTTCTTGTGCTTTCTATTATTAGTATTGTTGCTGTTACTGTTTGATCTCTTGTCTTGTTGATGTTTCCAGTAAATTGTTCTTATCCCATTCTGCAATCTTTACCTTATGTGTCTCCAGTTCTTCTTTCCAGTGCACTGCATGGAGAAGGGAAGGGAAGGGAAGGGAAAGGGGTGAGTGAGTGAGCAGTGTGTGGTTGGAGAGTCTCAGTGGGAGCAATAAAGTGAGGATTACCATAGCCAAACCATGACAGTTTCCCTCAATACTGCCCTTCAATCCATGTATTTAGTATATGCACTTTGCTGGCTTCCAAGGGTTAACATAAAGGTCACCCTGAAATTCTCCTCCTGGTTGTTGAGGATAATTCCTAGATCTTCCTTTAGTACTTAGAATAACCAGTGGTAATACTCATAGCAAACCTCAGTGTCCTACAACATTCCTCTGAACTGGAACAGATCAGAACCTGCATTGCTCCGGTCAGAATTTCTGTATGGGACTTTCAAACAATTACAGAACCACTCAGAATCACAGCATGGTTTGGATTGGAAGGGACTATTGAAGACTGTCCAGTTAAATCCCCCCAACTGTTATTAGTGTTCCTCAGATAGAGAACAAATTCTATACCCAACTAAACATATTTATGATATAATTGCATGTCACTTTGCTATTGTTGCAATTTCTTTCAACACAGCTAATTTTTACTGCATTCCATGTGAGACAACTGCAGTATTTTTCTTTGCAGGAAGTTATTTGGGCCATTCACATGTAAATACTAAAGGTGTATGCAAGTGAGTCTGATATAAAATAATTTCTGTATTTTTAATGTGAGGTGCTGCTGTGGCCGGCTGATTGGAGAGCACCCCGGAACAGAATGCAGCTGGTCTGTTTATCAGGCAGGCTCACAGAGCGATGGTGGAGAATGGTCTGTGCAAAAACACACAAAGATGAGTCCGACAGACGCGTTTGGTACAATCAATTTTCAAGATGGAGACCGCACGTACCATGCCAAGGTAATAGGTGCTGTGCTTATATGTCTGACTTGTTTTTGCAATTTCAGCATAAGAAAAGAAAGGCAAACAAAGGCAAAGATTTGATTGGGTGCATAGCAGATTGTTTGCCTTAAGAGGGCAGGGGAATCTAAAAGCAAACCGGTTTAAAATGTGTGTATATTTTTATGTTGAACTTCACTGTGGTTAGGGATACACTGCCTGCATTGCATTTTGCACATGCATTTTGGTGCTATCATGTTAGGGTAGTATGACAGCTCTAACCCTTCACAAATCTGCAGGACATTAATCCTTAGAACTTTGGAATGTGTTGTAGTTTCTTCTCCTGAAGAATTTAAAAGATGTTTATTTTACCCATTATTTTCCTTTTCAGTATATTAGACTTTCTTATGACAGCAGTTTGGATCAGCTGTTGCACCTGATGGTTAAAGAATGGCAGATGGAATTGCCAAAGCTAGTGATCTCTGTTCATGGAGGCATTCAAAATTTCAAGCTTCCCTCAAAGGTCAAGCAGGTTTTCAGCAAAGGGCTGGTGAAAGCAGCTGAGTCTACAGGAGCATGGATAATTACAGAAGGCATCAACAGCGGTAGTGTAATTATTTTTCTTTGTTTCACCTTTCCTTTTGGTGTTTTTTCCCTGCATAATAGCATGTAGGGTGAAAATAGAGTGAAATTATCTGAAAATTTGTGATATGTTAATACAAAATGAAGACTTTTTATATAAAGAGCAGTGCATAATTTAAAGAGAGGGATCATGTTAGTTTGCTGTTGACACACATTCTACATATTTTAATTAGAGCAGAGTATTCTGCATGTATTAAGAAACACTGCATATAGCCAGAACTTATTTGCAGTAAATTTATCTGCTTCTTTAAAATATTTGGGTTTTGTGGACTATGATTAGTATTTTTGAAACAATTTTCAAAGATCAATTTAACTTGTGTTTTATAATTGATAAAGTTTTGAATCAGGATAATCCAATAATTAGCCTATTAGTAGCTGAAAATCTCTGGACTACTCTCAAAAACTCAGAGGGGTCAGTAAACTGTGGAACTGAAAGTTTTACTTCTTTAGCTGTTATTCAATCTGGTGATTTTACAGGAGAACTGTCCTGGCCATTTATGTAACTAATGAAGTTTTATGGATGCGAAAGGCACCATTAGCAACATGTAAGAGTACTGTTAATTAGAAATATGTGCTGAATTTGAAGCAGTGGTACATTACACCCGAGCTGTGAAGTGTACATCAAATACACAAGTTGGGTACAACATTTTGGTTTTGGTTGAAACACAACTACAGTACAAATGACGTGATGTGAAAACTTTCTTGGCGTCCTGTAACAGGTCTCTGAATATGGAAAAAAATTATCATTTGATTATCTGTTTAGGAGTGTCCAGGCACGTGGGGGATGCACTCAAAGGCCGTGCCTCACCACACCTGAGGAAGATCTGTGCTATTGGGATTCCTCCATGGGGTATCATTGAGAATCAGAGGGATCTCATTGGAAAAGATGTGAGTTGGATGCATTTTAATAACAAAAGCCTTCATGTTCATGGGATGTTAGAGCTTTCTTGCATACCTGATTATCTTGTGGATTAACTTCACTACTTCAATCTTTTTTTCACTATAATAGAGGATTAGGTTTTACTCAGCAACAGAATTTTGCACGGCATGTTGAGACACTGCATTTTGCTTTTTATGTATAAATGAATAGCTTTAAAATACTTCTCTTCTTACAGGAAATTGCCATTCCTTCTTAAAATTTTGTAATTATGTAGGCAACTCTCTTGTAGTTGTATTTCTACATTAAGATTCGGAATGAACAGTCAGGTTAGCAATGTACACAAATAAGCTATTAATACGTGTATTATTTTATTCACAGTCTATTTTATATTCACAAACTATGACTTTATGTGAGGGCATAATCTACTCAGGTGTCTAAAAGAACTTCAGTAGCAAGGTGAAATCATTCCTGATAAATGTTAGGTCATGTATTATTAATGGGAATACAACCTAGGAAAACTATGCCATGATGTTCCAGCTGTTGCAAAGAATGCCAGGCAGTGACTCTAAGGGTTGCAAACCCAATCAGAAGTGTTTTCTGCAGTATTATCTATGGATTTGTTGCTGTTAAGAATCAAATGTTTGAGTAGCTCTAAAAGCATGATGGAGAATTGAACAGCCACACTGTGATGAAGAAATATATGCAATTGAGGAAACATAAATTGTGCTATTTTGTTGGTTTCTTTGAGGACATTTTTATTTTGGTTTTCTCAGGTAGTTTGCCTGTACCAGACTCTTGGTAACCCACTCAGCAAGCTGAGTACGCTCAACAGCATGCATTCTCATTTTCTAATGGCAGATGATGGGACAGTAGGCAAGTATGGGAATGAAATGATGCTCAGGAGGAATTTGGAGAAGTACATGTCACTTCAAAAAATACACACAAGTGAGTATTGCTGTGGCATATCTGCTTTATGACAGAAAAACCTACCCTAAAAGATGGGGAGGTACTTTACCTTTAATGTTATGTATTGTACATCTTGATTTGCCATAGCTTTCACTGAGGTCAAATGTCATTAATTGTATGTGTCTTGAACTCTAAAACTCAGGAAAATGAAAAGGACAGCATTTTTATACAGCATAATGCATATGGATGAACTTACAAATGGGTTTCTCTGTTGTAGAGACATCTAAATGACTCAGATTATTTAGAAAATATTGAGCATTTGCTCACAGTTTTACGTGGTTGCTATTTCACCACTAGACACTTCTCCAGCATTTTGTGAGATGGAAAGATTTTTACATTCAGTAGAATTCAAATCCTTTTTACCATGTCAACTACTTTTGCCCTCATCATGCCTCTCTATTGCAAGTCTAGGACCTCCTCAAGTACAGCAATGAAGAGTGGTTGAAGAAGCAAAACCTTTAGCCAATGTTTGACAGATTGCATTGCTTCCACTGTTTATTTATAGAGTAAAGAAGTTACAGTAAAGAAATAATTAAATAAATATTTATTACATAGACAATTATTTCCTTTTATGCACTTATTGTACAAATTATTTGTGGAAGTGCACTCCTACCTAGTCATTCAAATCTTGAGGTATGTTAAAAAGGCATTAGTATTATGATGTTGATGTTGCCTCCTTTATCTGCTCACATAATAGAATTGACAAGCTTAGAAACCAAGCCAGTTTTTAACATGTTCGTGTATAGAGCTTTTTACTTGGCCTCTTTTATTTTCTTAGTATGAGCTTTTGCAAGTCAGGCTTTCACTTTCATTTCTATTGCATTGTACTTGAAATTCTTTTCTGTTTGTTTAAAAAACCTGCAGTGCTGATGTAACACTGGGGAGAGTCTCTGAAGAAATACCTGATTACTTTTCTGTGTCTGTGGGTAAATATGTGGCTGTTGAACATGTTTCAAATGCCCTTGCATGTGACAGCTATTATAAAGGGAAGAGGGATATTGAGATGGATGTTCTTTCTTCCTGATGGTTTCAGTTTTTTCAGTAGTTTTTCATGATCTTTTTTGGTCGAGTTGAAGAAGTTTTCTGAAAGTCTTAAAAGATGTAAGTGAAATGACAGATGGTGAAGGAATGATTTCCTCTCCATGTTGAACCATGTATAAGTATTTTTTCCCCAATGTTTTGACTTTTGTGTGTGTGACTGAGATTTGTTTGTAACTGGTTAGGCGTGTTTTGAAACAGGAATGGGCCAAGGTGTTCCCATGGTCGGGCTGGTGCTGGAAGGAGGTCCCAGTGTGATCCTGATGGTGTGGGAGTACGTGAGGGCCAGCCCAGCTGTGCCGGTGGTGGTCTACGAGGGCACTGGCAGAGCTGCAGATATCCTGGCCTTTGCCCACAAGCACACGGGGGACACGGGGTGAGTAGTGTCACCATGCTCCTCCTCCCTGGCCTGCCATGCTGCGGCAAACCCCAGTCTCAAACTACTGGGATCATTTCTAATGCTTCTGGTAATGATGCCCCTCTGGTCTTTTGCCAGCTTTAACTTCTGTGGTAAGAGAATGGAGTTGCTTTCTTCCCTGCCTCAAACTAGAGCTGAGATTATTATTCTGCCAAATTTGCTATGGCTTTTTTTAAGAGAGAAAACTGCATGTAGCTACTCTGAGTTATGAAATTTCTCACCTTTGGTGAGACACACTTGTGGACTACCCCCAGAGTATTTGCTGTTGTTTCAGCTCAGCCATGTCTCCAGCTATCAATATTCTGTCAGTGGGCTTGGATTTGGTTTGTACAAAACTTTTGAGACGAGAGCTGGGGTTTACTGCTGTAGAAGCCTTAGGCTGGAGTAGAAGGAAGACTAAGTTTCTTCATCTTTGGTTTTGGGTTACTCAGTGGTAGCCCAGATTTGTCACCTTTGTCGAAGTGTCTGTTTCACCACCAGTCCAGTCTCAGCTGCAGACTCTATTGAACCTGCCCTGGTGAAAATTCTGCATCCAAACTGGACATAAAAATAAATGCTTGCATAGCAAATTAATATTATATGTAAAAATTTTTCAAAGTCAAAGAGCTTTTTAAATAAAAATTTGAATTTTAAGGAGGTGCCCTGTGTTCACTCCCATTTAAGAAAATGAACTATTTAATAAACTTCATATCCTAATTCTTTACTTATTGTCTTTCATGAATATACTTTTGGATATGTGGTACTTACCCCTAGTGTGTTTGAGAACTTTTTTCTTCACTTGCTTTTCCCCCTATATTTATGATATTTTAAAAAAATTCCTTCCATTAAAAAAAAAGACAATGTGAATGGAAAGGTTAACATAAAGACAAAAATGAGGAAAAATGGGAGAGACATGAAGTCAAATGAGTAAATGGTAAGGAATTTCATTTTATGTCTATTTTTCTATCTTTATTGAAAGAAATAAAAATCACTTTCAGTAATTTTTAGCTCTATGTTCACAGAAAATCCTTTGAAAATTGTTAATTTACTCACGTGTTGTATTTTCAACAGTAAATATGTATGTCAAAACAAATGTGTATGTGATTAATAATTTATATTATGAGATAACTTTTCTTTGTGCTGAATGACAGATTAAGTCAACAGGGAAGTAGAAGAAAAAGAAATTTCTCCTAAGTTTCAGCTTTCCTGAAGAGCCATTTGGGTGGGTAAGAAATATCTAAAATAGAATTGTCATTGATTATATGTCTGTTTTCCAGGGATCTGTGCCCTCAGGTGAAGCAGGAGATCTTAATGATGATTCAGAACATATTTAGGTTGGAACAGAAGAAGTCCAGTCGTCTATTTCATGTTTTGATGGAATGCATGAAACACAGAAAGTCTGTGAGTAGGGCTCGTGCTGATTTTAGGAGGTCTTCATTTCCTGTTACCCTTTTTGCTCTTTCTCTGGTGGGCTGGCGTAGGCACAGGTGTTATATCTAAGATAAAGATAACACAATTGTGTCTGTGCCAATTTCTATATTGAATGGCTCTACAGAGCTTGTTTAGTTATCAAGTTTCAGTTTCAAACATTGTTAATAAAATGAGAGCCTTTCTGATTTTAATAAAAGACCAAATATCTTTCTTTTCACAAGAAAGATCAAGTAATTCCTAAATTATTCTTCTCCACTAGAGTCTTATTTACAATTTAGATAGGTTTCCTTCCATTCTCCTTCTCACAAGAGAATTGGGCTAGAACTTGTCTCTGAAACACCGCTGGTAACTAGAAATCCCCTCCCTCCCTCCCTTCGTCCAGTTGCTGGCCATGCACTTGAGTAAACCATATTGGCTGCCACCAGTCACCATCTTATTTTCCATGTGACTTAGCATAGTTTCCAGGAGCATCTGCTCCATGTTTGTGCTGAAACTGATAGGCCTGGAGTTCCCTAGGTCTTTCTTTTTAGCCTTTTAAAAAACGGTAGTTTTGTTTCCCCTTTTCCAGTTACTTTACCTCTGTCACAACATTTCAAATATGATTAAGTTCCCAGTATTTAAACAAATAATGATAATTGGACTAATAATCACTAAAATGGGTACTACCCAGTACATTTTTAGTATTTTTTGTATTACTTTATTCGAGTGTCTGTTTTCTAGTTGAGAACTGAGTGAATATCAGCAATGTTGCATTTGTACATTTCTCAGGTTTAGAGGTTAATCAAAAGGAAACAAACTCATGTAGACTCTTGCAGTAGGTTTATTCCAATTTTCCTTGGGGTGCCATTGCATTAAAAACCAAAATGGTGCATTTTCTGTCTGAAGCAAAGGAAAATTGTGTATGGACCCTAGCCATTGTTTGTGTTGAAATGTGTATGATTTAATCTACCACAGCCCATACAAAGGAGAAATAACTACAGACTTCTCTGCCTCACCTCAAACAGTGTACTTCTGCAATTCTAACAGATAACCATATTTGATGCCGAGTCAGAAGACGAGCAGGACATTGATTTGGCAATTCTGACGGCACTCTTGAAAGGTATTGAAAAATACGACTTGTTTTTATCTGGCATGCAGGCTCACTGACTTATCTTTACAAAGTAAGGGAGTAACTTCAATATGTGGAAACTGATAAATCCTTGCTGCCTCCTAGGTACGAATATATCTGCTTCAGATCAGCTAGATTTGGCATTGGCCTGGAACCAGCTAGATATTGCCAAGAAACACATACTTGTTTATGGACAACACTGGAAGGTACTATTACCTGCTCTTTCTCACCATATCTTTACACTTTTTTTTGGTGGCAAATTTTTAATGATTTGCATTTGTCAAGCTTTAATTAATCGTTTGAAGACTGGACTCAGTCTTGTGTAGTCTGCTTCAATATTGGAGGAGCATTACCCTTAAAAATAGTGAAGTATTCAACTATGCAGTGCGTCAGATCGCATTTGTTTTTTCAGAGAAGATATGATATCCTAAGGTTGGTTTTGCTGTGAGCTTTTCCTAGTAGTTTCAGTTTCATTCTGGGTATGCATTTTTCAAGCCTGTGTTGGCAGTCAGTGGTGCTTAGGGATATGTCATTGTAGCTTAGAATACTCTTTTCTCCAAAGATATAAACCCCGAAAGGGTGTTGCATCTGTTTTCCTAGCTCTAGACAGAAATACAGAAATCCCAGCGTAAATCACCAGGTAAGAAAAAAAGTAATGTCATTATTTTAGATATAGTTTCTTAGGAATAGCTGTAATGAGAGAGTTATGATCTGATTATAAGAGATGTCTCTACTCAATTTAAGGTGTAGAAGTGACCGTACTCAATAGTAGAGATTTTTTAACACTGAGTGTGAGGTATGAGAAGGGGGACAGAGAAAGAGAGTGAGAGAGAGGGGTTAAACAGAAGATATTACCACAGGGATTCCTGCAGTGTCCTGCTGGTTATTCTTCACCCTGGTCTTCAGAGGTGCGGTGCCTGAGCTGTCCTTCTGGAGGCCCCACTTTTACACAGTCTAAGTACCAGATACTCACAAGATGGGCTGTTCCCATATGGGAAATCCCATTCCCATTACTTGAGTTGGCATGCAGATAAGCACTTGCTTCCTTTCTCACAGTTTGCCACAGTGGGAATTTTTGTCCAGATGCTAACCAAACCCTTACCTCCCTTAGGCCTGGAATTAACTCTTTCCTGCTGTGCCATCTGTGCTTATCTCCGGTTCTGTTGTGGTGGCTTATCTTATCAGGGCTGTGTTTTGGGACAACTAAGTGCATTTTTAGGTCCTTGCAGAAGGCAAGCCAGGATTTAGACTTGCATGTGTATGAAAGAACATACAGTAGCAATTAAATTAATTAATTATTTAATTAAATTTAAATTATGGTTTTCAAATTTTCGTATGTAACCCAGTACTTAAATATAACCCTCCATAAATGAGTTTTTTTGGTACATAAGAAGATTTTTATAGGTGACAAATATAAAACTCTATGTGCCTCAACACATTTTTCCCATTTGTTATATGAATTAATATTTTCTTCAAGAAATAAAATGGTCCGAGAAGTACTTCCCAGAAGTACTCTTTCATTCCCTGCCAAGAATTGCAAGGTTGATTTTTGATTTTTTTCAGTCCCCAGTGCGTTTTCTTCTTTAAAATGAAAATTTTGAAAAATGGACAGTTGTATATATTTGAGTGGCCATAGCTGGTTGTTTGCCACAAGAGACCTGATTTTTTTAATCACCAGACCATATTTTTTTGTGGTGCATAAGGCTGAATATATGGAGGACTATGCCTGGGATGTCTACAATTGAAGATCCATGAATTAAAGACAGGATATTGGAAAAAATTTATTAATGAGAAGTGTTATCAACTGTTGGAACAGGCTCCTCAGGGATGTGTTGAGTAATCAACTACAGAACTACTTAAAAGACATAGATGTGGCATTAAGGATAGGGTTTAGTGGTGGATTTGTCAGTGTTAGCTTTGCTGATTGACTTGATGATCTAAAGATCTTTTCCCAACTAAGTTATTCTATGATTCTGTGCGGGGGGGAAATAATAACATTTTTCTGATTCCTACCTCTTCAACACAGAAGGGGTTAGGGACTGATTGAGCAGTTCAGCCTCTTTACTCTTGGCTTTTCCAAGGTGAATATCAATTTGGTTTTTCCATATTTTTAACAATATTTCCTGCTCTTCTGTGTACTTGAATATTCAGATGTAAAAGTTATCTTTTGGGATAGGTAGATCAGCACTCAATAGTCTCATTTAGATATTTAGGGAAAAATTATTATTTTACATATTGTTCTATATTAACTAAAGGATAAATCTTAATAGGCTGTATGACTTTTTAAAATGTTTCTAACTTATATCTGGTTTATATTAATGATTGCAGAAGATAGGTCCACTAGAACGTTCTACCTGTCACTGCCAAAATTCTGATTTCTCCCTACAAAGTAACTACCTTGCTTCCACTTATTCTGCTGTGTTTTTACATGTTGTTATTATTGTACTTCTGTTATATTTGCCCTTACAAAGTCCTAACTCTACTGATATGCCATACTTTGACAACTTGGTTTTTTAACAATTTGCATATTTCATATCTACTGTCTATGTTTCTGATGTCAAAGGGGCTGATTTCAACTGTACTTCAGTTCTCTGGAAACTCTTAGGTGAATACCACAGGGTCCTGACAATTTGCCACTACCACTTCATGGATGGTTTCTATAATCTTTTCTGCTGATACTTCAGTTTGACACAGTTCCTCAGATTTTTCTGCCATAAAGAACAACTTTGATAGGTGACTTTCCCAGCCTGTTTGGTAAGCAGTAGGACAACAAATTAGTTTGCTGTGTCTACAATAGCCTTAAGTGTTTCTTTTATACCTGGTCATCCTCTGTCCTTACAGGTCCACTGGCAGTCCCCCTACTCCCATTCCTCTGCTTCTGATATGTTTGAAAAAAGCCAATGTATCTGTTCATATCTATTTCAGTACAAAGTTTAGCACTATTTTGAATGAAAAGCCATTGTGTTCTCCCATTCATGTAAGATTTAAAGATCTCATAATAAACAAGCCTCACATCTCTTACTGCTTCTCCAAGCAAATATTGGGATGACATATATACCTGAATGCTTTTCCTTTTTAGGCAGGGAAAAAACCCCAAATTTTTCCTGCACTGAAAAGAAAAAAAAAAAAAGAAAGAAAACATACAAGAATGGTTTTAAAGCTTGCCTTTAACTTAGCTGCTTTCTTGATTAAAGTGAAGCAACCCTCTGACTGTCAAGCACTGCCAGACCTGCAATTGTCAGGGTTCTCCAGTTTCTGCTAAGTTATTGTGGTTGTGTGTTCAAATTTTGAGTTACATATTTAGGGGCAGTTTTTAGGTGATTGTCTGTGTACTCCTATAATATTTCTGTTTACTTAGGTGTTGGAAACATGTATAATTATGCACGTGTCATGGCCATTTCTTTTTAGAAAGAAGTTTAGAAGGTTATAACCAGCTGTGGCTGTGTTTCTGTTAAGTGTCAACTCTACCTCAAATACCAAAGAATACCATTCTAATAGTTATCAAGGGGCTGCTGACGTTTTCAGACACACTGCCAGCTCAAGGACTGTTAGAAGAAATTTAATGCAAGAATGGCCAGTCATTCTCAAATATTTCTGGAAAAAACCCAATAAGGGTTTTTTTAGGCTCAGTGGAAAAGTTTTCTTTTTATGTGCAAGAATTCTGTAACATTTATTAGTCATCTTTTAAAATAATGTCTGTCAAACCTCAATATAGACATTGAATGTAATATTTTCAAGTTAGCACTAGCACCTGCCCCGTTAGTGCTCCAGCCTCCTCATTCTGCTCATCCCATGGCGTTTCCTGTGCATACGTGTTCTGTAGAAAAACTTTATATGGATTCATACAAACCTCATATGTCTAACTCCTTTGCCACTTTGCATGTATAAGCCCTGCTGAGCTCTGTTCAAATGCCATGAGTAGAGTACTTCCACCATTTGGACACTGCTTGTGGGTAGATCTCTGCTTCATGTTTCCTCTAAGGGAGTTTATTCTAACACACATTCTCTCTCATATTTGAAAGAAAGTTTGCATTAAAGAACTTGCAGTTCTACAGAGACTTCTCTAGGGCACTTTGAAATAGCTTTGGTCATGTGTCAAAAAAAAAAAAAGAAAAAGGCTTCCCTCCGTGCCCTGCATTATCATACTTTATCTTCTGAACTGAATTACAGAGTAGAGAATGTATTATCAGAGTCTGGTCATGAAGCAACATTTGTAGAAGGCTCTAGAGATGTTTGGTTTATGGAAACTGTTTTCCTTCCCCTCTGTTGGCATTTTACACAGATGTTTCCTCCAGCGTTTTTTTCTTTTGTATTTGCGCTTTAAATATACATAGAGAATGTTTTATTTATTTCCAAAAGTAATTTTCTAATATTTTCCTTCAACTCTGTCCACTTGGAGGTTGGTGCCTTGGAACAGGCAATGCTGGATGCTTTAGTCATGGATCGTGTGGATTTTGTTAAACTGTTAATAGAACACGGAGTAAACATGCACCGTTTTCTTACCATATCTCGTTTGGAAGAACTCTACAATACAGTGAGTATTTGAAATCCCAGTGTACCACTTTAGATATGAAAGCCTGGAAACAATGCTGTTTTACTTAAGGGGTGTGATGATTAGGCCACGTTTTTATGAAGGCCTTTTGGGGAAAAAAAAAAAAGGAAAATTAATGGGTTTGGTTATTTTTGATTGTTATGCAGGGGTTTGAGAATGGTGTACCAGGTTGTTGTTTTTGACTCACTGTCACTAGCTTGAGTACTCATTGGAAGCTGGTAAGAAATATGTTCAGATTTTAATCTGATATGTAATACATGCTTACCTTGCTGAAAGTGATATGTTGTTTAGACCAAAGCTATATTGGCTTCTTTCTAGAATAAGTCAAGATTTAAGATAGTGGAGGTGTTGCTGATTGGTTTTGAAGTTTTTTTGAAAAGATTTGGGGGTAGAGTGGGGAGAGTTTGAATCACAGTAGTTTATTTTGTAGATTATTTTAAACTGCTGGATTAATTATATTATGTTATGTTATGTTGTGTTATGTTTCTTATATATATTATATGCATTGATTTTCTAGTGTAGAGTGACATGTTTGTTTACTGTCTTTTCTATTCACACCACAGAAACAAGGACCATTAAATCTGCTTTTACACCATCTAGTTCGAGATGTGAAACAGGTAATAGACATAGGGAAGGCTGAGGACAAAAATGCTAGGTTAATACTTCAGTGTCCACTGGCAAGCTGCTATTAGGTAATACAGGGGAATTTTGGTAATAGAAGTGACAGTTTCATTACTGCAGTGCTATATCTGCTAAATGGTTTAATCTTAATTCCACTGACCCCTAAGCAATTAACCAATATACTGCTGCTGAGGCTCCCAAGGTCCTGTACCTTAATTTCAAAGCCTAGTAGTTCATCCAGATCAGGCTTTCTCACATTACTAAATTGACATTTTGAAGTGACAGTACAAAAGGATTAGTGAATTAATGCAGTGGTTATGCTCCTTGCTTTAAGGTTTTCTATTTTTTTACCCCAAAGTTAAGGTCTTTCCTTGTTAGAGCAGTAATGAAAAGATATTGTGACATGAGATAATATTTGCATGTGCTGCATTGCCTAGGAGAACAGAAGGTGGCAGTGGATGACTACTGCATGGAGCACTGGTTCCATTAGTGATTTAGTAGCAGCCTTGTTATTTAGATACATCATTAATTTATTTTACAATTCTGCTAATGTTCCTCACAGCACTGCTTAGCCAGAAAGGGATGAGCTGTTCTTTATGCATCTAGACTTCAGCACAGGAGATTCGTAGATCCAAGTCTAGACTAACTGGCTAATTCTTTCCAGGGTGTGATTGCTAAGATGAAATAGCAAGTCTGACTATTTGCAGAGTTCTGTTGGGTTTTTGGTGTCGTTTTGCTACTGTGGATCACTTTCATGTCAATCCCATTTATGATTCGTTAGATAGATGTAGGGTATCCTGGTCTCCCAAACAAACTGTTTTCTGTGCTTTTCCATACTGATAAACATATTCAAGATCTATTTTATGTTATAAATCTGGAATCTATAGGTTGAAAGTCTTGAAAAACATTGAGCTTCTCCAGGCTATATATATATATATATATATATATATATATATATATATGTCTTTAAATCTCAGGAAACTGGGAAAACCCAGTGTGTGATCTAACAAGAAGCTTTTGGCACCTGACATACAGTAATGGAATTAATGTAAAAAATATCTGCACAGTTTCAAAGCTAAATTTGGGATCTGCAAACAGGTCTAATTGCTGAAAAGCCTTATTTACCTGAGCTTCTGTAAGTTCACAAAAGTGTTCTGTGAATGGGTTGTGCAGTTGCAGTCTGATTAAACATGGTAACACTGTAGTTGGGGCAGTCAACAGAGTGATGTGACCCTGGATTTTAGAATATTTTCTGTTACTGTGAACAGCTTTGATGCTGCTGCAATTGAATGAAGATACATGCCGTCTGCTCTGATGATGTAAAAGATAGGGATTAGTGCAGAGAGAAGTATCTACAAGCTTAGGTATTCAAAAATACTTGCCTAGCTTTCGGTGACCTAGGGCTGAGTGGCCTTAGCTGACTGTACTGAGGTTTGCTACTGAAGTATATTGGAAAAACACCCTCAGCCCAATGAAGAAAAAGACTTTTCACAGTCTGAAAGGCTTACACTGCCAGGAATGCATAACATCTCTGATCCCATTTATATACAGGCTCATTTTTCACTTCAAAAAGTTGCAGTTGAGGTTTTACCAATAAGTTTTAAAATCTTCTTGGAAGTGAATTTATTCTTCAGAGAATTTGTCACAAACCTTGGGTCTTGGAAGGACAGTGGAGGTAAGATGGGCACTGGTGCTTTAAGCAGAAGAGGTGAGATACTCAGAAGGTAGAGCTAGTGCACATACTGCTGTTGTCCTTGTTGTCAAGACAGTCTTGAGCCTCAACAGGATATTTCCAGTCTCTAGGAATTATTACTCTGCTTCAGCTTAAATACATGCTTCAGCTACTTCTTCAATTTTAGTTAATCAAAGTGCTTGATCGTACCATGCTAATTTTCTCTTGTGAGAAGGTTTTTATCTGTACCTCTGCTGTTGGTCCTTGTCCTGAAGAACTGTTACCCTCACTGTTGGATGCAGTGAACATTGCAAAATATGCAATGTGGGTACAGTGAACTGCAGGAATCACATTTCCCCCTCTTTTCTAGAAGAGTTCCATATGCGTAATGAATGTGTACACTTTCTTGACACATTTATCCAGACATTTCCTTACAATAGGAGGGCTATAACATGGTTGAATGTTGCACATAACAGCATAATGAAATGTTTGTGATGTTTGGTGTTTCAGAATAGCCTTTCTTTGGATTACAAGATATCACTGATTGACATTGGACTGGTGATAGAATACCTCCTTGGTGAAGCTTATCAGAGCAGCTACACAAGGAAGCATTTCCGAATTCTCTACAATGATCTCTACAGAAAACACAAGGTAGCTTCTTCCAAAACACTGGTTACCAAGAAAAGCCAAAATGTGACACCTGAAAATAGCTCATGTTGTCATCCTGGTTTGTCTGAGGAGTATCATGTAAATATGTGCCATGCTTGTCTGTTTGAGAACTGTAGAGAGGTTGCAAATAAAAGAGAGAAATCCCCAAGAATATTGGTGGTTGTTAAATTATTTATTAGTTCAGTAAATTTACCTTTGTGTCCAGTATCTGGGTTGTATTTTGTCTATCAATAAGGTATGACAAGACTGTGCCAACCACCATTTTCTTTTTTGAAAGAGTTACATATCTACTTCTTGCAGCTTGAACCGCCTCATGGAAATACTAAATTCCACATGTCTTGAAGTAGATTTAGGGCAGATTTAACCCTGTTGGTTTCCCAAAATCAGTAGGTTAAAAACAGCTAAACTTCTCAATAAATTAGTTGAAAGTCATTTCCAACATTGCAGAAGGTATAGGTTTACTGCATAAAAATGACCCCCAGTTTTTGAAGTAAAACTGGACATTTAAGTACTTCCATATGTTAAAAAACAAACAAAAAAACCCTCCCATCCCCATGAAATGTTTCCATGACTAAGAGAAAAACCTCATAATTATCAGAGAAAATGAGAAGAAGTAATGGAACCTGTAACTTGGAGTGACTAGAAACAGGGAGACAGAGCTTTCTGTGTGTCACAAGTTTTTAGCATAACATTTTAAAAAGATGTGAGCAGTTCTACCACTTTTTGCTCTTTCCTAATGAAATATGACCTTAACAGTGATAGGTGAAACCATATAATCATATAATTAGGAATTGTTGGGAAGAGCATTAGGGATTCAGCTGTTAACATCCTTCCCTCTTAGCCAACACTGAACAAAATTTGCCGAGATGCTGGATGAGCTATCCTCCAAAGGAAATTATCAGCAAAAAGTTCAGAGAGTTCTGTCTTTCAAACAGCTTATGGCACATTTTATAAAGGTTGGCACTCAGAAGAGCATCCAGACTGGGCGATTTCATCTGTTGAACCCTGCTTGTTGCATTTCGTGGATGCTATGAGTGGAAAATCATTATTTTGAATTCAGAGACTCAGAAAAATATTTATTTGTTTACTGAAATATGAAACAGGCCATTTTTTTCCTTGATGGTATAAGTTTCAGTGGTGGTTATGGTGATTTTTGACTCACTGGTTTTTGAATAACATCAATTTCTACATGCACTAGTTTAGTCAGCAAGTACCAGAGAAGTTTATTTCTAATTTGTATTTCTCTTCTTATGTTTTATGGTTTGCTTTTGGATCTAGAGAGTGGTCTCCAGCTTGCCTCAAAGCCTGTCTCATGCCTTTCATCAGAGTAATCAGATGGATAGTGGAATGGGATCCACTGAAAGTACTTTGCATTCTCAGTTCTTCAGGACTGCACAGCCTTACAAATACAAGGTGATATAATTGCTTATTCTAGACTTTGCTTAGGAAATATCAGGCTATTAATAATTTTATTGACAAATTTTAGACATGCTGGTCAGGCTCTTAGTTTTTATAATTCTGCTTAAATTGCAGTGGAAACAATGCTTTACTGCTCACAAAGTACAAATCTTGCTATTTTATTGGTGAAACCAAGTTCAGACTCTATGATAATTTTTAACTTCCATCCTTTAGTTGCTAAGGGCTTTAATTCACTGACATGTAGTATCACCAAATATCTGAGTATCAAGCATGTGTGAAAATTCTTCTGAATTTGGAAGAAACATAGGAGTTTTCTGATTTTCCTAATGTTTTCCCATGATTGGCTTATTGAGGTGTTATAGTAAGACTGTTAAGAAGTAGAACATTCAGAGAAAGAATGATAGAAGAGCAAAGATTTGCTTTAATATTAGCTTTAAATCTATCTGTCTGTCTGTCTATCTATCTATCTATCTATCTATCTGACAAAACATTAAAGTGAAATGGATTTAAATGGCTGTGTTGGAATTAGTCAGAGCCAAAAAGAACACATGATAGCACTGAGACTTCCTCACTTACGTCAGTAAGACACTTTTTCCTGTACTATTCACCAAGAAATACCCAGATGTGAAAGTATAGCAAATGTGACAGACAGAGAAAATAATCTTTAAGGATCTAAGGTGTTTAATTCAGTCTACTGTGTACTTTTTCTTCTATCATGACACATATAAAAGAGAGAGTAAAAGCATGGGGAATCATGGTGTTTGGAGAGTGCTCAACACTATGGAAAGGGAAGTTATGAAAGGCATGGATGCAGAGCAAGGTGTATTTTTCCTTCATTAATGTTACCAGCTTCTTAGCATTGGTAATCTGAACATAGTCCTAGCTGTGGTTTATGACTTAAATGTATATAGCTATCAAATAATTTGCTACTTGCAATTCAGATTTGCGTGCAGTTTTATTTTCATGAATCTGAACCTCAACCATTCACTGGGATTTTCTTTGTGGTTTTTTTCCCCCTTCTTTTGTTTCTTTACAAATTTATAGGAAAGATCCAGCCCTTTCCCAAAGTATAAGAAGAAATTAAAAGAGGATGTAAACTACACAGAGAATTATGAGTCAACTGGCTTCATCTATCCGTATAATGACCTCCTGGTTTGGGCAGTATTAATGAAAAGACAGAAGATGGCTATGTTCTTCTGGCAGCATGGAGAGGAAGCCATGGTCAAAGCTGTTGTTGCCTGTAAACTCTACAGAGCAATGGCACATGAAGCTAAACAGAGCAACATGGTGGATGACACTTCAGAAGAACTCAAGAAGTATTCAAAGTATGAGTTCTGCCTTCATTTCAATTAAAGTTCTTTGGTGCTGAGAATTGTTAGAGACTGCCCTAATCCACTAAGAGTTAGTAAAGTTAGTGATGCTGTGGATTATGGAGTATTAAAAAAAACTACTTTCAGATACTCACTATTGATACTATATAATGGATCTATGTACAGGTGTATAATGTTGAGAGTTAAAGGAAAACTATTTGCATATTACCTGAATGCATATTTGAAAATATAGGTGAGTAATGTATAGTTCATTATCTGCTAAATGGTCAGGGGAAAGGCTGAAATTTCCTTGGCAGCTTTTCTTCCAGTTCAATTTGTTAAAAAGCCATATGGCACACAGGTCTGCCCTGTTCAAATTTATAGCAAGTAGTAATGAGCAAACCAAAATCAGTGCTTAAATCCTGCTCTGTGTAAGACTAAGTGGAAAGTGAGATAACTGATTGAATTAAAAGGGAATTGGACCAAAATTTTTCTTTGAGTTTGTAATTTCCATTTAGTGTTTTCTGGTAGTTTTTCTGGTTAGAAATGTATTTTCTGCTTTGTAGATTTCATGCTTAAGATTCAATAAAAACTTAAGGTGCAATAAAACATACTTTGTTCTTTTGTATGCAGCTCCAAATCTTAATTTGAAGGAGGGTATGTGCCTTCCATTAAGAGTCTTCTCTGCAGAAGTGTTTTAAAGTCAGTCCAAAAAGAAGAGACTTTTGCAACTGGCTGCAATGTTTGCCCACAGTTGTGGTGAATCTGTTGGTTGAAGCAAATACAGAAAACTTTGTACGGTTAATTTTGATCACTGAGTGAGATTAGGAACAAAAGAAATGAAAAATGACAAAACAGGATGGCCCTAAACGTTATGATTAGGACTAAACAGTTAGGTTTACATCCCAAATTGTTTTTCATTAAGTATATTGATAAAGCAATGAGAAAAATGGGAGAAGGCATGTTTACTGAGATTGATAGCTGAACTTGAGTTACCAGAGTATTCACAGCAACCTCTTCTCAGCAGTAACTCTGAGTTTGGACTGAATCCTGTTATATTGACTGTTAATTCCTTTCTGCTTTAGGGAATTTGGGCAGCTTGCCTTAGATGTGCTGGACAAGGCATTCAAACAAAATGAGCAGATGGCCATGAAGTTGCTGACCTATGAACTGAAAAACTGGAGCAACTCCACATGCCTGAAGCTGGCTGTGTCCGTGGGGCTGCGGCCTTTTGTGTCCCACACGTGCACGCAGATGCTGCTGACCGACATGTGGATGGGACGCCTGAAGATGCGGAAGAACTCCTGGTTTAAGGTAGCATTGCTCTATTTTTTTCCGACCATTCAGGTGCTATTTAGATGCTTAATATATGGGTTTTTTTGGTTATGGACACAGCTTATGCAGTTTCAGACAGCTCAGCTTAAGCATAAGTTGGAATGTGAACATCTGGGAAAAAAAAAGCAAGGGAGGGAGGGAAAATAGTTCTTGCTTCTGTTTTATTTCTTTTCAAAAGCATATGTGGGATCACATTAGGATGAAGGATTTTTTTGTTGCTCTTCCCATTCTCTCAGCACTTTTTAGTCCTTCCTCACCTGCTCGTGGTTCCCCACATTGCCTATTCCCTGGCAGAGCTGCTGGTGGGAAGGATGCTTTCCAGACACAGGGAGCTGTATTGAAAGCATCCCAGATACAATGACACTCTTCAAAGCCAGAAATCAGGCAAGAGCAGCACAAATCTTCAGAGGCTGTCAGACTCTGTGATACAGATTTCAAGCACCAGTGACTCCTTCTGCAGCCAGTGGAATTGCACTGGGTTTGTGCTGGCACCAGGCATGGCTGACTGTGGCCTCAGGTTTATGCTATCACTGCTTAATTAATCTTGTGTCTCTCTTTTAGGTCATTATGAGTATTCTCCTGCCTCCCACCATCCTGATGCTGGAGTTTAAAAGCAAGGCAGAAATGTCTCATGTGCCTCAGTCCCAAGACTTCCATCAGTTATGGTATCATGGGGAACAGAGCCCAGTCAGCTCTAAAGAGACTTTGGTTAGTCTGTGAGGATCAATCATTTGTGTGCCAGAGTCTGTCTCTTTACCACAGTGCAGTTCTGAGGAGTGAGAAGATGCTCATCAGGTGGAATGAAATGGCTGAAGGCCAGTTCTCTCCAGAAGTATGGATTAGGTCCCCAGTTTGGATATGGACTTAAGTGAATGTGGTACAAGTTACTTCATCTGTCCTGGATGTCACTTCTGTGCTGGCCATAATGAGAAAGTCCTTCCCAACCTCACATGTATTCCTAGCGCAGGAAGGGAGCAGCCCGACCTGAGGCAGCTAGGAAAAGTGCTCACACACATTCTGCTTAATGTAAGCTTGTGATTTTATCTATCAGTGTCTAGCAGAAGTCCAGGTTACTGATTTTCCTTAAATACTCTTATACAAAATACTATACAAAATATACAGACAGTGTAGCTGTGCCATATAGGGCATCTTTCACAGAGTGCATGTTGATTATTGCAAATGAGATATTTGTAACCAGACAAAACCAAGCTGTAGTAATGGCTGGTGTATTCAGAACTAAGTTTAGGCATTTGTGTCTGTCTTCCCCCTGAAACAACACTCCCTTTGCAATTATAGACTATTGTTTTTTACTTAAAAAATGCTGTTTTCTTTTAAAGAGGGGTTATGATGTAGAAAAGGCTGTTCAGAAGTCTGATGAAAGCCAAGGAGATGGTGGACAAGGAAACCTGACTGGAGCTAGAAAAATCTATGAGTTCTACAATGCACCAATTGTCAAGTTCTGGTTTCACACGGTTAGTCATCATTCTAGAACTTGGAGTGATAAACCCCTCCTTTAGTCCTTCAAATGCCACTTAATCCTGCTTTTACTTTTTCTAGCATGGATTTGCAGTCACTTAGTGGTGGGTGTAAATGGGAAGCCATTTGAATGTTTCTCTGATAGTTAAGTGTAAAGATTAAAATGCTAAAATCATGCTAAATCATGCTAAAATCATGCAACTGAACTAAAAAAACCCAAAAAACCAAACCCAAAACCCCAGGAAAACAATTATAAGGAACCAAAGAAAAACTCAAGCGCAGCCTTTTACAGTGGTCAGTTGCAAAGGCTGACATAGATTTGAAGGTGACCTTCTGTACCTTTAATACTTCACTGATCTTCATGTTCCTTTCTTTAAGAATTGTCTCTGGAGAAGCAAATATTTTTCTATAGGGAATCCTTTGCTATAGGAAATGTACATTTATTAAATCAGTTTTAGTAACCCTGTGTCAGTAGAGCTCAAGATGTTTAAGATCAGGCTGTGATCATATGTATTTTCCACCTAATATCATTCCTGTGGTTTGGAAGGCGCAGATTAACTAGCAGTTGCCTATTTAACTTTGAGAATTGTTGCTTATCCCTAGGGAAGGCTAGGATAAAGGCATAAGACAGCCCTTGCATTCAAGGAATGGTGTGCAGATCACAGAATAAAATCACAGAATAGTTATTTTTGGAAGGGAGCTCTGTAGACCATCCAGTCCAACATCCAAGATAAAAAATATGTCTCTTTTATGGGGATGAGCATATGCTGCAATTGTTTACCTTCTGCTCCCACCCATTTTTTCAGCATTAAAGTGCCAATTTCCAATGATGTTTAGGGACATTCCCATAAAACAAAGCAAAACAAAACAAAACAAAATTTTCAAGAACTGCAATAAAGATTCTGGGCTCAAACACGTGGCAGAGTCCCAGTTGTCTGAGTACCTATAGTGAAGCCAACCAGCTGTTTTATTTGCAGAAATTTGTTTGAGGTTTTTGTGTGTATGGATTATGCACCATGTGTTTTGCAGATGTCGTACTTGGCATTCCTCATGCTCTTTACTTACACTGTGTTGGTGAAGATGGAACCAAGACCAAGTGTGCAAGAGTGGTTTGTTATTATTTATATTTTCACTACTGCTATTGAAAAAGTCAGGGAGGTAAGTTTTTCCATTTGCATTCTCATTTTTCTTGTAACCAGGGAATAACTCTCTGAAGAATGCTAAATCCTGCTTTATTTTATGGAGAATTATACAGAGAATTTATTTATTGGAATTCCTTTTTTCAAAGATCAGTTCTTGGTCTGTCAAAATGCATCTTAAATTTTGGCCTTAATTCTTGGTTGGTAATGTGTAGGTGACTGCTGAATTGAGATTTAGAACCTTGATGTAGGCACCTGGTCCTTAATTTTCTTAAGCTGACCATTAGACTTCTAGTAATAAAATTTGTCTTTAGATATTTAATCTGAGTGAGAACTTGTTATGAATTAATAGATGTTTTACATAGAATAATCTATGGCTCTCCCTCAAGTCTAGTTAGCCTTCCATAAATGCACTTAGAAAAAAGTACAATCAACTTTTAATGCTGGATTTATTGAACACAAAAAAATAAAAAAGGTATATTCAAATCAAAATTATTGCAATTATTTGCAGTTGATTAGACCCAAGCTTCTGAATGCAACTTGAGCTCCAAACCTGAGTCTAGGGACAAATACAGCTATGTATTTCCTCAATCATTGTATCTGCTCTGACATGCCTTCACTGCAGAATCAGCACATAACAAATCAGCAAACAGTAATGTGAATACTCTTTTGTATGACTTTTGAAATGCTGTGCTTTCAGAGGAATAAAGCTAGCCACAAAAAGCCAGCCACAGCTCTGAGCAAAGGACACTGCAAATACAGATCACTCAGAAGGCTGTGAAATCAGTATGAGAGAGGTGAAGGATTCCAAGGGACAGTAAAAATACTTTTGAAATCACTGTTGTGCTCTTGCACCATCTTGATGCTGGGACAGCAGAAAGAACAGCTCTTCTTTCCGGTATCATTGGTTGGACACTTTGAAATTGATGTCTTTACTTGATTTTCTTTATCCATGTTCTAGTTCTGGTCTGTTGGCAAAGACTTTGTAGGACACTCTATTTTAGCTGGGCAGCTGCTTAGCTGCTGAGGGCTTTGTTATATATAGCTGCAAAGTTCTGTTGCTCTAGATTGTATCAAATAATTGCTGAAGCCTTAGGCCCTGCAACTAGTTACTCATGTGAGTTAGTCTAGATCACTTGTCTACATTTATGTGGTCATATGCATAAATTCTTGCAGGATCAGGGCATAATGTTTCAAAATCTCTCCTTTGCTTGGTACTTATCAGTGTAATCTCACATAGCACTGCATAATTGGCCTCACTTGTGGCAATGTGCAAACATTTTATTTGCCTCCTCCCTAGGATTCCACTTCACATGCTTGCTCAGTGAAGCTTAAAATCCCTTTGGGGCACCTTACAGTTCAAGGAGTGAACATTTCATTCTTTACCTTGCTAGTTGCCAGCACTTCTTTTTTTAACCTGTCCTTGGCAGAATACAAGGATCTTTCATTATATTTTTGGTCTGAAATAAAGGACATTAGTTATTTTCCCAGTGGCAAGGTTAGGCCAGTACTTTCCATGACTTAGGGGTTAATGAAAAGGCCACTGCAGGTTGTGACCATCCCTCTAGAAAATGCTTGTTAATTTCTAACAATATGTGTACATAACAATTCTTTACTGGCTGCTCTCTCCGGCTGAGCTATGTGCCCTTTAGTGAACAGATTCAGGTTCAGGATCCATCTTTTTTGGGAAGAGCTATCCCATTTGATGTCACATACTTGAGCAATATGACATGGTGGATTAAGTAAAAACCTCAATTGATGATGAATGGCAATATGCAGTAAATGGGTCCAAGACAAAAGAAAAAAAAAAGGGGGGGAAATTATACATTCTCAAGTATCATGAAATAATGCAGACCAATGCAGAAATAATGCAGAATAATGCAGAAAAGGTCAAATAATGTATATGTGATTTTAATGGCATTTTCCTCCCAATTCTACCTAGGTATTTATCTCAGAACCTGGAAAATTCTGCCAAAAGGTGAAGGTGTGGATTTATGAATACTGGAATTTTACTGATTCTGTAGCAATCATCCTGTTTATGATTGGTTTTGGTTTGCGGTGGTGCAACCCCCCTGTTCAAACTGCAGGGAGGCTGCTTTACTGCTTGGATATCATATTTTGGTACACTCGGCTCCTTGATCTTTTTGCTGTGAATCAGCATGCTGGCCCATACCTGACAATGATTGGGAAAATGGTAAGTAGTGTGCTTTGGGGAAGTATTTCTGTAGCTAAGGCATCTACCTTCAGGAATAGGTAAAGCTCAGAAGTGACAGAAAAGGAGAAGTGGTCTAATGGCTCACAGTGAATGTTTTACTTGAAAATACCATGATTCTTTTTGTTTGTGAGTTGACCATAATCAGATTACACTTCTCTTTAATTTATTAATTACATTAATTTATTCACAAAATCCATTTTTACTTAATTCCTTAGAGAAGGGTTTTGTTTGAGTTAGTTTGCCAATCTAGCTTGGTAACAGGAGAAAGAAAAGTCACTGCTTCTTGGAGTGGGCTCACTGTGACAGGTTATTCCCCTAACTCTTGGAAACAGTATCATTATTGTTTTACTTGTTGATTCAAATAACTGCCTCCTTGTTTATCTGTCACAATTTCCGTGAAATCCAAGTTAATCTTGTTTCTCTTTTGCTGTAAGAACTGTTGCTGAACAACTGTCTAGTCCTGGGGGACATGTGAAGGTTCCTACTGTAATTTGCCTCCTTTACTGAGAGCTCTCTTCTTAATACTTTTATATTCTGTCTTTCATGGTGATTGTTTAGGGGGCAAAATAATTTTCACTGCTGTTCCTTGCTCTCAGTTTGAAAGGAGCACCAGTGAGCAAAATCACCATTGTAGGATCTTCGCATTTTTTAGATCTTGCTTAAGATATAAGAGGGACATGTGAGGCAAGTAGGGCTTTTTTGGTCTAAGATGATTTCAACATCTATAAAATGCTCATGTACTCTAGGTCATAGAAACAAAATATTTTTATTTCCTCCAGCATATTAGATTATTACCCCTGGTTTTATATTCTGATTTGTAAAAACAGTGATTGATACTCTTCCCTAAAATGAATGTCTCTTTTACATATAATTAACACAAGTAATTCTTTTACACAAACATGTCTTCTAGACAGGAAACATGTTCTATATTGTGATCATGATGGCCATAGTCCTGCTGAGTTTTGGGGTGTCACGAAAGGCAATTCTTTCACCAGAGGAGCCTCCTTCTTGGACCCTGGCACGGGATATTGTATTTCAGCCCTACTGGATGATGTTTGGTGAAGTCTATGCTGGAGAAATAGATGGTAGGTAATTTTGAGACTATAGCTCATGGCTTAAGTTTAATATGTGGAGAAGCATGTCTTCTTTGGTCTTTTGACTACCTACTGAGTCTGTTCTTCCTTAAACAATTCTGATTCCAGTATATGTATATATATATGTACATATGTATATATGTATATATGTATATTCCAGTATATGTAATGGGTAATACTGCTTTAATTAAGTTGAAAATACGAGCTTCTTTGTGAAAAATAAAGATGTTTAAGCTCTAAACCCTTCAAATTTAGTACTTCAAATTAAATATACTGCAAATATGAGGGCATAGCACATGGGAACTAATACTAAGATACTTCCTGGTCAGGGGATCTGCCAGTGAAATAAATTTCCAATTAAGTGAATCCAAAGCTGCTGATATCTTGGAGAAAAGAGAAAAGCTGTCTTTAAGGAAGAAAGAATAAAGGAGGAAAAGAAAGGGAGAAATAAGTTGCCTGGCACTGTTCTTAAAGAGATAAACCATGTGCATAGGAGAACTAGAACCAATCAATGTAAATAGGAAAAATTGTTTACCTTGATTATGGCTTTGGCCTTGTTTCAGTAAGAGAGAGTAATCAGGCACCCCAGAGATATTTAAGCATTACTGATGTAAGGCACTCTCATGCTACTGACTGAAGGTAAAAGTAAAACAGTCCCTAAAATAGAAAAGTAGTAACCCAAAGAGAAATATATATTTAAGGTACATAGTTCAGCATAGACCCAATTCATTAAAATAATTGACCATGTTGCCTCCATTATTACTACTGAAACAATCATATGTATTTTGGTTAAATAAATCAAAATTCTTTTAATGAAAATTTCCCAGTTAAGTTTCCCAGTTTAATCCATTTAATCACCTAACAATTCTAAACCTTTAGAAATTTGATACTTCCCAAATAAAGCTGTGATTTCTCCAGTGACTCTTTATCCTGCAGAATATGTCCCGAATTTAGGGCTGCTTCTTTATAAGTATGTTTCAAAGTTTCCTCCAAAGAGTTAAAGTTGATTAGAAATTTAAAAGATTGGGAAATATTTATTTTTATGATTTAAAAACATCGGAAAGGATCTCCTAATTTCCACCATTTATTGCTTTATGTCTGAGGTGCTCCTGTCTTAAGGATCAAAGATTTGGATTTCAGCTTACTTGGGTAAAACCCATCCCCCAAATACATTTCAGCTGTGTGTTCCCCCATAACAAAAAGTGGAATGACTGGCATAATAACTGATTTGTATGAAGTGGTGTCTGCATCTTCTGAACAGTGGTTACTAAGGTGGTAGTAGCACAAAGGGGTCTCAGTTCTCCTTTTGGTAGAGGTTGATCTTAAAGTTGGAAATTTGGTGATGCAAAATCTCAGTGAAATTAGTGAGGACTATTCTCTTTCTTGCTGAGACAAATGAGAAGCACGGGCCATTGCTGTGCTCTGCTCTGGTTCCTGTGCTACCCACGTTCTGTTTGTCTTTCATTTCCAGTTTGTGAAGCCAATGAAGACTGTCCTCCTGGCTCCTTTCTCACACCCTTTCTGCAAGCTGTCTACCTCTTTGTGCAGTACATCATCATGGTCAACTTGCTCATTGCATTCTTTAAGTAGGTACCTAGGTATATTGCTGCAAAAGTAACTAAGGTGTGTTGTGCCTGCACTTCTGGAAAGATTTTCACCAAAAATGCCTCAGCAAGGGCATGTTGATGGTGGTGGTTGTACCCCATCAGCCATGGGGGTAAGTCAAATGAAGGAAAGAATGGTGGTAGCCAGATGGTGCAAGGAAAGGTATAGTGAGAAGACAGCTAAGCTCTTTCGCCACTTAAAAAGAATACGACTCTGTGAGAGCGGACAATTGCAGTTGGCAAAAAAACCAGCATTAATTCATCTCTGAAGTAACTTTCCCTTCCTAAAAGTTGTATTTGTTGTGCTAAGAGCCTATATAAAATTCATCATAGGGCAGGCCAAACTGGCAGATTAGTGGAAGGTGTTCAAGTGAAGAGGATAAAGGAGGAGTATGCTTTTCCTTTAGGAAATAATTTGAAAATTCTTACTTACTTTAAGCAATCCCATATGTTCTAGACTGAAATCTTACAGTAGTGTTTTCAGCAATTTGCCTTTTAATGTGTGCTGCCACAGTACAAAGGGTTTTTATATTAATTCTATAGAAATTCATAGTACTTTATCAGTGTCTTTATAGTAATTCTAAACCTTTTATGTTTTAACAGGAACCCTTTGTAGTGGAGCATGTTCTGTAAAATATTAGTGAAGAGCAGCCTAACCCAAGCAGTTATGTATTTTTTCTTATAGTTCTAGCATTTCTGGGGAAGAAAAAGTCAGTTGCAGGTTTAAAAAATTCAAATTAATAAAAGAACTCATTCATATGCAAAAAACCCTATGAACTATCAAAACTCATTCTATTTCCACTTCCAATAAGAAATCCCTTTCCTGAAATTGTGTCAAGGAATCAATCTATTATCTTACACATTATGTATTATTTTACATGTATGAAATTGTTATCTGAATTATTTCTGGAACTAAAACTTTATTAATGATGATATGGTAAATCTTCTGCATCGTGATTTGATTGTTTCAGAAGTGGGACCAGAAATGGGTGGGTATGAGAAACACATTTAATTATGCTCTCAGAAGGAAAGTTGCTGTTTTTGTGATTACATGCTGGCTGTGTAGAATGACAGTGAATCTGAAATTATTAGAAATGGAATGCTAGAAACCACAACAATTCTTACCTGTGCTGAGTCTATCATAGTAGATACAGAAAATTATTCAGTGCAGTCATGTTTATTAATTTTGCAGCTCCAGTGAGTATTCTGCAGAAGAATGGCTCATGTAGCTGCAAACTATTTTGTCACAGTCTTCACTTAGCCTGACACCTACTTTTAATCCATTCCAAAGAGGAAAATAATACTGAATTCTGTGGTTAGGGTATATATTAAAATTTAAATAGTATGACTGGGATTTCAAAGCTATGTCGATGGCATCTTTTGCCTTGCTCCCATTAATGTGAATGGGAGTTGGATCTCCAAATCTGTTGGGCAGCTTTGAAGATCTCATTCTAAGTGCACTAGCTGCAGGCACATGAGTTGCTAAGCTAATTTACCTCACTGGAGGAATGAGACCAGCGTTAGATTAGATCTGTAGAGAAGTGTCTTGTGCTATATTGGGAATATTTACCCTCCTTCTCCTCTCCTCTGTGGCTCTCTCCTCAGTAATGTTTATTTTGACTTGAAATCCATCTCGAACAAGCTCTGGAAGTACAACCGTTACCGCTACATCATGACCTACCGTGAGAAGCCGTGGCTGCCTCCACCCTTCATCCTCCTCAGTCACATTGGGCTTCTGCTAAAGTGCATCTTCCACCACCAGCCCCCAAATGAGTCAGACCAAGAGGAAGGCGATGTTGGACTAAGTAAGCTGGGAGCCAAAAGAAATAGTTCATCATCACTCCCATAACTGAGGAGTTGAGTTCCAAAAAAAAAAAAAGACAGAAAAAAAAGGGGGTAATGCCTTGCTTTATATTTGGCTGTTGCTGTGCTGCATACTGTGCATCAGTCAAGATACCTCACAGCTCTGAGGTGAAATAAAGGGACAGCAACTTACTGTGTAGGAACTAAATAATATCCTATTTTAAAAGAAATTAAGCAGCACCAAAGGTATAAATTTCTGTATGTTTGTCATGAAAAGACAAATAATTCCTTTACCACTACCTGGGGAAAGTAGCGGCAGAGCCCAAGGATAGAGGAGATCCAGTGATTGCAGATGCACAGAGGCTTCCCACCTCCTTGCTGCTTTTGTCCCTTTGTGCACTGGCTTTTGGCTGCACCTTACCTTCTTCACTTTTCCCAGCCTTCACTTTTACCACCCAGAGAAGGGTGGTAAAGCCACTTTTCTTCATGCCAGATCTTTCCTAATGACTCCTTAGGCCAGTTCCCTGTCCCACTTTCACCACCTCTGCCTGGATTAGCCTGGGCTGTTGTGCAAAAAGGATCTCAAGATAATGGGATGGAAAGTAGTAGGGCTTGGTGGTGGGTGTAAGGCAGGGGAAAAGGTGACTGTAACTACATCTAAAAAAAATTTGGGAAGCATTGGTATCTAGTATTATACAGTCTCATCCTTTTTGATATATCGTAAACCCTTGATGCTTTATAATAGAGGTGGGCAGATCCTGTGTGGGTTATGCCTCACTTAGAATTTTCTCTTCTGAACATGAATCCCTGAAGATACCTGGCATGCTCACAGGTGGTTTTAGAGCACAAAAACAGGCTTACCTAATCAATGCTTGTCCTGGTTTGAAAAGGAAGTGAGTTTTTTGGGATGCTGTGATCAACCCAATAGGTGCTGAGATTTGAATATTAGCACCTGGTGTGGCCACTGAGGACATGGGTACGCCTCTGACTAGGGGGAAGCTCTCTTGGTTCCAGACAGTGGAGGGCTCAGACCAGCCCTGCTCGGCTGCGGACTGGGCGGGGCAGGGGAAGCCGTGCGGCCTGGTGAGGTAGGCCGGGCCTTGGACAGAGAGGGGAGGTGAAGGCCCCTGAAGGATGGAAGGGTGGAGGAACACTGAGAGGCTGCAAGGCAGCGCCCCCACCCGAGACAGAGAGAGAGAGAGATATAGAGAGCTGGTGTCTGTGCCAGTGCCACCTTGAAATTTGATAGCATGGCCGGCCGAAAAGGAGAAGGGGCGGTGGGAGGTGCAGTGAGAAGGTGTCCGGAGTGTGGGAGCTCTGGACAGGCAGAGCCTGAGATTTTTAATCCTTTTCTTGGATGATAGAAACCTTACAAATGCTGATCCTCCTGGAGCTAAACGAGAAGAGAGATAGAGATGAGATAAGAGGAAATGGGCCACGACAGAAGTGGAGAAGCATCTTGGATGGGAGGAGGTGATGGAGTGGCCTTTGGCTGGACTTTTCTTGTATAGCCATGGATGGAACCATTTTTTCCTGTGACAGAGACTGCATTTAGGGGAAGGCAATGGCTTGGAGCCAAGAGAGTGCAGTGATGTTATGTGGAAGAGTGCATGAGCAGAGACAACGGGGGAGGAGGGTGGTGCTGCCCTCGATCTTTGGTGGAAGAAGATCTCTGTTCTCGAGGCCCCTCGACCCCAGGGGGTGAAATCTGAAGCGCACAGGTGTCCTGAAAGTGGGAGACTGTGCTCTTATTGGAACAGGACAAAGCATCCTTAAAAGGAAAACCCTAGAAGCAGTTCTGGTCCATGTGCAGTGGTGAGAGCACTGGACATGGAAGGAAGAGGTCACGATGGCAGATGTTCTCCAGGCAGTGCCATGAGTGACATGGAAGCATAAGAGGTCCCAGCTGTGTTTCCTGGGGAAGCCTACAGTACAAGAAAGACTCCTCTCTCCTTGATGAACTGAGAATTGATAGACTGAGAGTTGGTGATCTGAAAGGTGGATGTATTGGAAATTTAGTGGGGGGAAGAGGAAAGTTTTTTAGAAAGTTTTCATTCCGAGTTCTGTGTGTGTTTCTCTTTATATATAGCTGTAAGTTAATAAAGCTTTTTCTTCTTTATTCCTAAGTCAGAGCCTGCTTTGCTCTATTCCTAGTCACATCTCACAGCAGACACTAGAGAGCATATATTTTCATGGGGGCACTGGCATTGCGCCAGCATCAAACCATGACAATGCTGAACTACTGTAATGATGCTCGCTGGTTCAGCTCCCCCATCATGACGGTATAGACCAGCCTGACTTGGAAGTGCCATTGCTTCTTTTATGTGCAAGTGCAGCATAAGTCAGTGGCATAGCCTAGAGGGTGTCCTGTAAGGAGCTGAAGGAAAATTGCTTAGCACATCTGAAAGTCCTTGCACAGAAGAGAGCTCATGCTTGCTTTCACTTTCTCTCAGAAGGAGAATTTTTTTTCTGTTTAGGCACCTCTGGGCACCTTTTTCTATACACTTTTGCTTGGCAGTTTTCTCTTACTTTAGTTGTGGTGTTGTTATAATTAACTGGTTTTCACAATGAGTACCCAGAGCCACCCTGTGGAAAATCAATACCAAGACACAGAGTAAAATTTTGGAGGAAATAACACAGGTCAAATAGGGTAGAAAAGTGTCTGGAAGGTGATGAAGTCTCATTTGGAGTGAGAGGGGTCTTCACTGCTGAGCTGTGTGTTGCAGCTGAGTACTACATCCTTGTAGCAAACACTGCCTTGTTGCTTGGAACAGCCACCTCTCTAGCAACTACAGTGAGGACTTTGGTACATAGAAAATGACAGAAAAGAGGAGCTTAGAAAATGTGGAGTTTGAGCCAGAGAAGCAGCTTTCCACCATATGCATTTCTTCGTACTGCCTTGTAATGGCAGTAATGACTGCTATCTCAGAAGTCTTGTTGTGCTAGAAGAATAGCACCGTGAGCAGCCCAAGTTACAGAGTTTTAAACTTCTGAATGCTTTTTTCCCCCCCAAAAATCTTGGAGTTGAAGGTCTTAATGTTTTGTACATGTGAACTTTTATTAAGGATATCTGAATGTTTTATGGATATGAGCATATTAACTAATCAGGTGAAAAAAAAAAAAAGCTTTGGAGCTTTGAGCACCTGAATGGACTGTAATTGTTGTAGGTGACTAGCACTAAATGAATGCCTGGGCCAAAATGGAGTGAAAGTTTTGTAAGCTTTGCATGTTCATATCTAAGTCTTGTGAATGACACACGTATAACAAAGTACAGGAAAAAAATTGTGAGAAAATTAATCTTTGTGAGCTGCCATTCAGATATGTATTTTTGAAGCTTTAAAAGGAGTGTACTGGAATTTTTGCCTGTGTGGTTTTGTTCCCTATGTAAGGAAAGACAAAATCACACATTTTCATGTATTTGAGTCTTTATACTGAAGCCCAAATTAATGCACTTAGGCCTGATTCATTCTTGTCAAAGGAGGGAGTGTAAACAAGTTTTTTGACTGGATTTTTTTTCTTTTTTTTCCCTCATGCATACTTATAAGTGATTGCAATTATTAACATGCTTCATACTGATTCCTACCCCCTTTATTCAGAGCTCTACCTGAGTGATGAGGAGTTAAAGAAACTCCATGACTTTGAGGAACAGTGTGTAGAAGAATATTTTCTTGAAAAGAATGAAAACCTGAGTTCCAGTGGCAGTGAAAGGATCCGTTTGACCACAGAAAGGTGTGTTTTGATACATATTTATGTTCTCTGTATAAATTTGTCATATATAAAGACTTTGATAAGTTCATGCTTTTGAAGCTGGTTATGGCCACTCTGAACACGCATAGGCCTTGTTAATTTGATGGATCTGTGTCTGTTTCTGTATCTGCGTCTCTTTGAGGTGTATGTCAGATCTGACTGGGCAGCCTTGCTGACAGAATTGTATCCCCAGACCCATGCAGTGTGCACATGGTTAAAGGGGTACAGAGAGGTGCTGCTCAGTTTCACTTGTACAGATCAGGTAGCACTACAGAAGCAAGCCAGAGAACAGCACACAACATGTAATTTTATTTAAAAGCTTAGTAGTGTACAGACACAGAGAGTATTGCTTGTGATTGGGTATAATTGCTGTTTACAGAAACAGCCTGCAAACAACCATTGTAGCATTATTTGCAATATGGTGTCTTGGTTTACACAATGTCACTACACAGCTACCAACTGGGTTTCAAAACAGTCAGTATTGGCCTAATTAAGCTTTTTATTGAAATCAATCATAAATATACCATTAAGTTTAATGTGAACAGTTAAAAAAATGAACGCTATAAAAATCTTACTGAATGCCAACAGTGATTTCATCTAACAAATTTGTTTTGCCAAGAAAACATAACATTATTTTCTGCAAAATAATTTTCTTGGCTTCTTCAATACAGAAGTTGAACACAAGTAAGTTTATTGGCTTCTTCAACACAGAAGCCAAGAAACGTCCTCTCCAAAAGATATTAAATAAGTAGTTTTGGTCAGAAACTGCAGAATTGATTACTTCAAGAAGGTCTCATTTACTGGAAAGGAATTTTTTTCTGAGTGCAAGTGAAACACTCTTCACAGCATTGCATGACATTAATGCAAGAAATTAATTTAGATGAATAAAATGTTTTGGAACACTGGTCCTTGATTTGATACGGCAATGCCTTAATACTACATATTTTAGTTACTCTGTGACAAAGAAAAGAAATTACTATGGCATATTGCCTGCAGATAACTTATTATCTTAGTGATAAAGTAAGAGAGAATATCTTCAGAAAATATGAAGATAGTGGTTTGGTTAAATTATTTAATTCCAGGCCAAGAAGTTCCTGCACTTTTCACTGGAGATTTGAGGATAATAAAAAAGGCTTTGGTTTTTTGGGCTGTTGAATTTTACCTGAAGATAACCAATGCTATAAGATGCATAGGAGCTGCTTCTGGAGGCCAAATATGTTCTTGGGAAGACCTGTTTCTCAGCAGTCTCTAGTATTTGAAAAATGCAAGGTTAAATTAAAGAGTTTGTGTGAGCCTTATCCTTCTCATGCTTGCACAAGAAATGTAAAATCAGGATGTTCAGCTGGCAGGAAGTATACTTCATTTGCAGCCATACCCTATGTAACCTGCCACCAATGTTTTAGTAGTTCTATGGCAATGAATGGGTATTAGTAGGAAAACAACAATATTTAAAATAGATATTCCTTGAGCAAAATGTCTGTTTCCTTAAGAAACCCACTGGCAGTTTGGCTGGGTTTTGTCAAACACAGGTATTAATGGGAATGAAAGTCACCATTAAAAAAAAAGCCTATTTGAAACGCTGACTTTTTGAAATTTATTAATGGTTTCTCTCATCATGTCTCCAACAGATGTAAAGATCTATGTTTTGGTATTTTAGTTATGTTTTCTTTTTCGACCTAGAGTGGAAGAGATGTTTCAACAGCTTAAAGAAGTGCATGAGAAGGTATTCTATATCAAGGAGTCTTTACTCTCCCTGGACAGCCAACTAGGACATTTGCAAGACCTGTCTGCCCTGACAGTGGACATCCTGAAAGTGCTTTCTGCTGTAGACACCTTGAAGGTGGAAGAAGCCTTACTGGCTGACACAAAACTTCAAACCTGTAGGAAGCTGCCCCATAGCTGGAGCAATGCATTCTATTCCAAGACCTTGAGCAGTCTGGAGGGCTTGTGTGACAAGAAATACCACTATTACAGCATGCCACCCTCCCTCTTACGGAGCTTGGTAAGGACTCAGTCTCCATCAGAGTGCAAACTCTTGAAGTCTGAGGGTGACAAGGTGGTAGAAGACAGCTCTCAGAAGGTAGAAATAGAAACAGACACACTCACTTCAGGAGTATCCTCTGAGACTAGGTCGACTCCTAGGTATGGGCAGTTTTTGCTGGTGCCCCCTGACCATCAGGGAGGGACTTTTCCTGAGGATGTCACCTTAAGTTTGTCCTTTTTGAACACTGCTGCCAAGTACAAGGATGAAGCATTCGGAGATGACCTGCAAAGTAGCATTGTGGTTCCTCAAAACTTGCCGGGTATCAGCTTCCTTGGCAAAGAGACAGAAGATTGCCAGTGGAGCCAGAGAGACTTTGTTATTCATTTGCCATCAGAAAAGATTGATGCTGCAGAAGCTGATCATCCTCTTGATCTCCAGCTACCACTGGATATTGAAGAAAGTGTAGCATCCCCCTGTGATGACAGGGAAGAAACTGAAGGTGGTTATGTGAACTGGGGATTCTCTGAAGGTGATGAAAAAGGAGTTTTCATCTCAAATTCAAAGAAGAAAGCTCTGTGCCTCCATTCCTTCTATGACAGGGATAACAATTGCCAGAACAATCCCACCAGGCACGTCCAGTTAAGTCATTCGAAGTCCTTCTCCTACAGCTCATTCAAGTCATGTCCCAGCAGCATCATCTCTCAGAACAGGCTGAAGAGAAGCATCTCCTTCTGGATCAGCCCTCTCTGGAGGGACTGGAGTTTCTGCAGAAGCAACAGCTTACCGTCCCCTAAGAAAGAGAGATCAGGGAAAGTCTGCAAGGCCATAGGCGGTAATTACAAAACATAAAATGTGTACAGTATCTTCTACTGGAGAGTCCAAGACATGACAAAAATGTTTCATTTGCACCCAGAAGGTATTAGATGCAGTGAAGGAGGGGAGCTGAGAGTCCAGGGTGTGGGTCTGGGTGTTGGGAATATTCAAAGTGTGCCTGGTATCCAAGCTGCAACACACCAGTGTGCCAGCCACCCTGATCTGCCCCATCTCATGGAATCTCCATGTCTGTGGCTACACAGCCAGGTGACAGAAGGACTGTGCTCACTCTGGGGAAGTCTCTTGCCCTGGGGATGCACAGACAGAGTTGCAGGAATCAAAATACATTTCATGATCCTGTAGAGATACATTAGCAGTATCAGAGATGGGTGCATGGAGAATTAAAAGGCATACTTTTCTGTAGTCAGTTTAAATACCTCTCTCTCCACCACCAGGTTTGCTTACCAAGTGTTAAAATAAATCAGATTCAAGTTTTAATTATGAAGAGTATGACGTGATGGATGGCATTGGTTGTTTTATATCTTGTGATGGTGCACATCTTTGCACGGAACTGCTTGAGTACTGAGTTTGGTTATCACAACTCTTTCTCAGGTTGCTTTAGACATCTGCCAGTTGTCGGTCCTATCAGATTTTCCCTTAGTAAACAGATATTCTGTAGCTTAAAGATGTTTTTTGACTCTTTCCTGCAGAATCTTTAGGATCCTGTGAGCTACACCACAGTGAGACAGCAAAAGCAGAACAGCAAAACAGAGACAGAAAGTCTGGGAGAGGAAAGAGGAATCAAAAACCTCTTCAGGTGCCGGTATGGGCAGATGCAAGAGAACTGTGTATCTCAAAATTGTCTTTTTCATTCCTTAAGAGCAGTTCTGCAGTCTCGTTTAATTGAAAATGCAAGCATTTAAAATGCTGCACACAAACTGCAGCATCTCCTGTGTGTGTCTAGTTTTGGTTCAATTTTACTTTTTTTTGGATGTGTGAGATTTCTGTTTTGAATTGCTGCCATCCAGGGACTTTGTTATACCATGCTGATACTGATTTTGTGGTGATTCACAAATGTAAATCAGTCATTGCATTTCAGCTTTCAGGAGAACTTGTGGAGGCTTCATGTGATCTAGACTAGACTGAAGCAGTGACCATATCTGGGGGGGTTACAGCTGTACTCAGGCAAGATAGGCCTCATAACATTTTCTCCTGCCTGCAAGAATCCCATGGACTTTTCTCTGAATCCATCAAACATTTAGCACATTGCAGAAAGTATATTGATTGTGTGTGTATGGGTGTGGGGCAACCTTTGCAACTGATTCTGTGTGTTCATAAATAAAAATCTATTTCTAGAGCCTATACAGAAATTTCTAGGGTCTTCATTATCTGGAAAGAATTAGCACTGTTTAATGAGATGAATACTGAAGGCTAGTTTGTTTACATAAGATACACAGGTCAGCAAAGGATCTTGGACTTTGAAATCCAGTATCTCTCAAGGTATTAGGTCTCAAGGTTCAAATACCTTCAGACAGTGTGAGACCACAGTACTTGCTAGACAAGAGCAACATGTCTTCTGCACTTTGTAACAAAACTGGGAAAATCTGTTTCTCAGCTGGGGGTGCATTCATTCATTCACTGGCATTTCAGAGGTGCTCTGAAAGGCCACATCATAATGCTGTCAGAGGAACTGTAGAGATACTAATCATCCTGTAAATTCAGTATTGTTTTGTCTGTGCCTTGGCAGGTGATTAGAGTGGATGATTGTCCCCAGAACACTCAAGTGAACTCAGAGCCTGCAGAAATCAATGTCTGGGATGAGCAGGAGAAACACAGCAAGAATTGGCTCACCGTGTCTAATTTCAGTCAGCTAAGTATGTTACATGTTACACAAAGTGAATTTCAGAAGAGCTTTCAAAAAGAAGCAGTAAATGTAATTCAGAGAATCCAAGTGTCATCCACCATTTTCACCTTATGGCATAATTTTTATGGAATTAGACTTAGTTTGTCTTGGTAATTTATGCAACATTGAAGAGGCAAAAGAGTCATAGGATGGAAGATCAGGTGAATTTATTTGGGACCACTGCCTGTCTTCCATGGAAGATAGCTGAGTGTTAATCCTTAGGAATAAGTCGGAAGAATGATGTCTTTGTCTCCTCTCCTGAAGTGTCTTCTAAAGTGACACCCTGGCTAATTGCAAAAAAATAAACTCATTATTTTTCAGGAAATTTACCCTCACAGGCAGTGCTGTGATACTGTATTTGCTGGCAGATCCTCTGCCTGCATTATTCATTTCTCATTGCTCAGAAGCATATCCTCCAAAGGGAAGAAATTAATTCTGGATTGTCTCTTTTGGGGTGAAAAGGAATGGCATTCTGATCCTTCATTTAGTAATTCTCAATCTCTTTCATTCTCAGAAATTCTATGCATCATTCATCTCATCTTTCAGCTTTGCTGTGATGTGGCTCACTGGTTTCATCCTGTGAGCTGCTGGGAGAAGTACAAGACAGAGCTGCGACTCACTACTACTCAGCCCTCAGAGGAGGGCTGTACTCCAAAGTTTGCTGAAAAAAGTGGAAATAGTCTCTTTAGCCCTGTGAAATTCTATCACTGTTTTTTTAACCCATTACACATTTACTGGGACAATATGGTGTATAGGTGTTTATTTTATAACACTGCATAGCTACTTAGTTTATAGCAATAGTGTTGTTCATTTACGCTCTAGAAATAGCTGACAGCTTCTCTTTTGACTAGGTTTGGAACGTCTCCATTACAAGCACCAGAAAATTAAAAATCCAGACTTTGGTAGGCATACCATACCATTCTGTGATTACCTGAGGCATTCTCGAGAGGTAAGACCTAGGATTACACATCCTAGTCCATAATTTTGGCTGGGATGAGCCCACAGTAGCTCTACAGTCATGCCTGGATTTGCCAATAGAGTTTCTTTGTCATGACATAACTCTTTGAGAGATGAGAATCTTTGTTGTCTTCTGGAAAGTGCACATGCGGAAGTAAATGAATAATTTAACAGCTGCTCTACTAACACTCTCATAAGATTATTGAAATACAACATTAAAGTATTGAATCTTCCAGTGGTTCTGAATATGAGCTTAGTCACAAATAACACATGTTGATGTTTCTTCAGGCAATGAGTGAGCACACAACTTGGTCTTGAACTTGTGGGCAGAATGGATTAGAAGAAAATTTTGGAGAGTTAACTACATAGCATTCACTTTTTCACACAGTTGTTTCTTACAAAAAGGTGGATAAATATTGATAATAGTTGCAAAGCATGGATTTTTTAACCATTCTCTTATAAAAATTGTATTTTATTATTTACCAGAATTAATCTGCAGCTCTGTAATCTAAAGTTTCATTTCCTGTGTGAAAACTAATATAGGCTCCTTGAATTTGATGGAACTAGACCAATTTATATTTCCTGAAGACTTGAACAGGAATCTGGGTTGTGGAAACTACTACCTGTTTTAAAATTATGTAGCTAATGGAAGAAATGGAATAGCTAATCAAATAAAATGTACCATTCATTCAATTTTATAGGATATCTCAGATAAATGAAAGGAAATTACCAGAGAATAAATTAAGAAAAGGAAATGTGAGCGAATCCTTTCCTCTTTCTTTTCAAGGGCACCAAAGCACCCTTCCTTGTTGATTTCACTTATAGGACTTTTGGTTATGAAAATGGAGTTCTTTCAAAGACTTATTTTTCACTGAAAATGTTATAATTTTTCTTTTTTTTAGGAATAAAAATGAAACAGGTAATTCCAGTTATGCTGTTCTGAGTGTTGTAGAATTTGAATCCCATATACCATGGATGAGAGCTTTAATGTTTGAATTTTAAAAAATGGTGGGGTTTTGTATGAAAAAGTGACAAGAGAGAGAAAGAGAAATAAATTTACTGATTTTGTATTCTGTAAAACTGAAACTTGGACTCAAAATCAATACGTCTTTTAATTGTGAATCACAGGAGCAGCCAGGCAAAATAAAGTCAGGAAAACTGTGTGAGGTAACCAAGTAATCTGGTGCTTCATAGCTCATATTAAGATATATTTATATAAGACACAAGTGTGATATTTTTTAAATCGTAAAAGAACCCATTCTGCTGATTAATAGCAGTATTGGAGTTACGTTGAAACCAGTTGTTTCTGAAACATCAACTTCAAATTATTTATTCTTCCAAGGTACAGCCTCCAGTATGCACTGAATTGTTGTGCCTCTCTCTGGACTATGAAAGCTTGTATTTACACTGAGATGTAACAAAGTTTCTGTATCCAAGTGTTCCACTTGGAGAATTATGTATTTTAAAGATACGTATCTTTCTGAAAGTGAAGCTTCTCACTCATGGCATACCAGGGGCTCAGAAATCGCTCTTGAGAGGAAGCAGAGAGCAAAGGAAGGGGTGTGTAGGAAGCTTTTGGTAAAGACTTTGTCATCTTCAAAGCAAGGTACACTTTCAAAATGTGAGAGAAATTAAAAAAAAAATTAAAATTTATTTAAGTTGAAGTTTAAATTAAAGGTTGAATTTTAGTTGATTCATCTTTAAACTTAGCTGTCCTTAAACTTTAGTGTGTGTGTGTGTTTTGAGGATTGAAATTGGTCTGAATACTATTGAGAAGAAAAATTCCATTTCTTACTACCATATTAGGAGGACCTGGCTGGCCCATTTTTTGCTAATATGGCTTGAAGTTTAAAAGATTATTTGAGTATTTCTTTAAATATAGGACCTTGAAAATATGTGATCTAAATATCCCTGGAAAGCTGCTCAGTGTGTTACGTTCTTCTGTTCCAGGGCTTATTTTCAACAACAGTTAAAGTTATGCCTACACTGGAATTTTCCAACATAAAGAAAGTTCTCTAATACTGTGCTTATTAGAAGACCTTTAACCAGCTTTGTCAGTGTATGGAGATATAGGTGGTGACCTGAGTATTTAATTCAAATTTCTGGAGACAACATGGAAAATGGCAATGTGAGCAAGTTATTTCCATTTTAGTGTAGGTGTGGCAGTGCTATGATTCGCCTGCTGTCAGGGTCATTATTCATGTTAACAAAATTCATATCAACAACTGTTCTCAGCATTATACCTTCTTGAGCTGTGCAATATGAATATGACAAAGATGTCCATATTTTACCAGTAAAAGTGTCTTTCTTTTTTTAGGATTTCAGTAATAGCGTATTTGGAAATATCAAGAAAAGTAATCTGAACAGGAACTCCTCGTATGTATCATTAGTATGTTAAGATATTCACCACAGGTTTTCAGAAAGAGATGTCTGTAGTGTCTGCAGGTTTGCATTTCAGTTCCGTAATACAGTCAGGATGACAAATTCCTGAGACATGGAGAGGCCATTCATTATATTTAAGTTTGTTTAAAGGAAATCTTAGAAATGGAGATCAAAGAGATCCATTTAAAAAAAGTGTATGATTTTAGGTAGAATAGACACCCTTTCTAATTCTAACAATAACTGAATTTTTAAATTCAGTCACTAAGATGACAGCTGGACCTGATGATTTACAAGGTATTTTCCAGCCTTAATGGTTCTATGATTCTCTGGTGATTCCATGGTTCTATGGCCATAGCATCTTTAATTAACCCTTTTCCCAATCTAGTTAGCATGAAAAGTTGTATTTGCTTTTGCTGTGCAATTGCATGTTTTATTTTTACTAATTGAAATGTGAGCATCTCCTGAAAACTTCTCTCATTGACTGATTTATCTCTTTCATACATTTACTAAATATTTAGCTCAGTTTTCTTCATGCATTTTCAGAAGTTATTAAGCTTTGATTACATTTAGTGAAAGTATACTGGTTTCACAAGTGGTTTCCATTTTCTTGTGATGCTTTTAATTTTTTTCCCAGATTGATTAATCATTATCATAATATTAGTAGTATTTTTGATACATGCAGAGCTGTCTTTATGTTCCTTTTCCTTCCTATTTTCATCAATATCTTCTAGACTTTTGTTTTGGTTTTGTTTTTTGTTATTTGTTTTTTTGTTGTTGGTTTTTTTTTGTTTTTTGGGGTTTTTTTTGGTTTTTTTTTTTGTTGTTGTTGTTCTTTTTTCTTTTTTCTTTTTTCTTTTTTCTTTTTTCTTTTTTCTTTTTTCTTTTTTCTTTTTTCTTTTTTCTTTTTTCTCTTTTTTGTTTTTTCTTTTCAGCACTGAGCAGGTAATTACTAGAAGATACTAGAAAGCTGTCACATCCCATATGATCTCACCGTGGGGAGGACAAGAGTTACTGGGGGTTTTATGGATACTGTGTGTGTGTGTGGGGCCAGAGGAGCGGGGCTGGGTGTTCTGCTGCTGTTGTGGGTTTGGGGTTTTTAGGGTGTTTTTTCTCTTTTCTTTTTTTACACCCCACCATTTATAGAGGTAGACAAACTGCACACTTACCATCAGGATGTAGGAGCTGTTGAGTTGCCTGAATCTGTTGCTTAGTCTGTTGTCTTCAGTGGGATATCTCTGGTAGATGAGGTGAATCACATCTTCTGTGTTCTGTAACAAAGATTGCTTTAATGTAGCAGTGCTTTTGCAATCAGACTTGTTAATCCAAAGAATCACCAATTCTAATCAATTTTAAAAGTATGCTCTTGTACGAGGAATGGTGATGACAAAAGTAACTGTTAATGCATCTCAGCATTGACTAAAAACGAGCAGTTGTGTCTGTGATTGAAAACTCTGTAACTGATACTGTTATTGCAGTGTAAAAGATGTAAATAGCAGTGCAGACTCAAGAGCAGTTGAACATAAAGCAGAGAAAGAAACATGTAGAAAAATGTGTCAGTTCGTCAGTGCCTGAAGATTGTTTGCTCATGGCTTTGTTGAACAAAATTGCACTGAGGGTTATTTTGCCTTAAGACTGCTTAGTCACACATGATCCATGTGTACTAGTTTTAGCTTAATGACAGAAATAAATGTTGGATTAAAATATCAAATATTTGCTTTTAAACAGATTGAGATCTCCAGAGGAAACTGACAGTAAGTTTTTTACTGCTTGTCACTCATTTTAGTTCCCATCTGCAATTCTCATGCAGACAATTCTGAAGTGCAAAATCCAAAAAGAAGCTAATTTACTGTAGTTGAAGATTATGGCGCACATATTGTTTCATGTGTTAATAACTATTTTTTACTTTAAAGTGAATGATTTTTTATGAGAAACATGCTTTTCTCATAACAACTGCATAATCTTAAAAGAAAAAGATTTATTTTCACTCTAGTCTGACCAGTAATGTTGTCCTTTCAGCAGGAAGAAACTCTTTAAGATGCTGCTGCTTTGATCCCTAACAGTCCAAGTGATCTCCTGGGTTAAACCAGGGTGTATGTTTGAAGTTATAAGATTTTTAATGTATGCTCGATTTTTCAAATTGCAATTATTTGTAATACTTCTAGTTGGGTTGTCTACCTGGAATTCTGAAATCTGTGGACTGAATTTATTATGAAATGTCCAGTGAAGAAGTTAAAGGTTTTAGTGAAGAATCAGTTTGCTCCTCAAAAGCAGAGAGCTAGTGTAGTATTTGTTGTGTTTTAGTCCATCTCCCAGTTTTCCTGCCATGACACTTAGCCGTAAGAGGCTGAGCAGCTGGGCACCTGTCTCTTTTTGAGATTAGCTGTGGTGCAGGAATCAATTGCTCCTGGTCTTATCTCCACTGCAAGTGATGCTCTTTGTGGGTCCATCTGTGCCCAGAACACTGCAGTGCTGAAGCATTCTGCTGCAAGCACACTGAGTTGTAAGGCTGCTCTCTAGAGCGCACCATTCTTTTGATTAAAATCTAGTTTTCCTATTCTCAGAAGGCCCCTTTTCATGTTTTGTTTTTTTTGCAACATGCAAGATGCGGCAAAAAAAGAGATGGGTCCAGCAAGAAAAAAATCACAAGGAACTTTGAATCGCTAAGAGGAGTGAAAAATGCTGACCCTTCCCCCAGTATCCATAAATGTTTTCATATAAGATCTCTTTCACTAGATAAGGGACTAAAAGCAAATGTAATACACCAAGAAGAAAAGTGTAAAGTTCAAAAAATTTTGTGAACATTGCTGTGATTATGTAATTTTTTGAAAATTAATAGTAGTACAGTATATAGATACTGAAATCTGGCATTATGAAGTAACAACAAAATTATTTCATCTAATTAATGAAAATGTGTTCCTTTTTCTTGGTTGTATTAAAAAGGCTTTTTTATAAAGCAAACATTTTTGGACCAAAATTGATCTGTCTGAGCATATGTAACCACCAGAAATCTTTGTTTGCTTATATTTTAACAGCACTTTGGATGCTGTGGGTTAATGGGACAGCATTATTATAGTTTTGGTGCAATACTACAGTTAATGGAATACTTAATGGAGGATGGAGTTGGAAAACATGTCTTTGGGAGGCCATGAAGCACAGTGGATAGTAAAGTACTTTTGATATCCATGGAGTCTAGCTGTTTTAACATGTCCTTGAGGTTAATATATGATTTTCCCCACAATTTCCTTGAATAAATAAGCCATCTGCCTACATTACACTGACAACTGAAATTTGGCAGTATACAGTACATGATAATGCAGCTAAAGCCCATAAGTAATTCTCCTCTTTAGAATGCTGAGTCAGCAGTTCTGATTAATCTGTTTTGTTACAAACTCTGGGATGGAAGGAATTAAAAATCATGCATTTGTGTCTGCTATAATAATTAATACAACAATCCTTTAAACATTATTTCAGATATCTTCTCCTGCTTGAAAACATCTCAAGATTTGCATCTTCACTACTCAGGTAAGCAGGAGACACAAAAATGACAGCTGAGGAATTTAAGAAATTAAAACAAACATTAGTTGTCCCTTTGTCATCCACTGTGATTTTCATTTTTAGGACTTGCACAATTGCCCACTGCTAAGAAGGTTCTGTCTTAATTCATGTCTAACATGAATTTAGGATTTTTGATTTTTTTTTTCTGTTGATAATTGCTTTATTCTGGGTATTTATGGCAAATCCAGAGCAGAATGTAGATAATCACTTTCAATATATCAGTGGAAATCATGAACACAGGTCAGCTTCCTAAGCAGGCAGAAGAGGCCCTACTAGTTTGTTTATAGCTGTCAGTCTCCTCACACCTCCCAAACTCTCCTTGGTACTTTCTGGATTTCTTTTCTTCAGTTAATTGGTCCTGTACTACCTAATCTGTGTTTGTGTATTTATGAACTCCCGAAAATCTGGCAGGGAATAAATCCTTTGAATGTTAATTTCCTGCAGTCCTGCCTTTCCCCAGGCTAAGTCTGCACGGATTTTCCCACAAGGCCTGGATGTCAGTTTTTCCAGGAGGAGAAGAGAGCAGAAATTGCCAGTAGATGTCACCATTGCCCACAGGACTTGGCCTCCGGGACAGGCGGGGCTGGAATAAACCAAAGCGGCCAGCAGCCTTCTTAGGTCCAAAATCTACAGAGTTGTCACTTGGAATAACACCTCCTGGCTTGCAATCAACTGTACAGACATAGTTTCTCTGACAAGGTGGCATTGTTGCAGGTATTGATTTTTGTTTGTCAGGCGTGCTATTTGAGTTGATGTTGGACTTTTTAGCACAGATGGAAGTGGTTTCCCTTTTGAGCTGACAAATGTCTTCAGAGGTTTTCAGTGTATGTTTTCTTTCTGCAGGAAGATTAGGACAGAATTTAGCCAACTAGGCTCAAAAATCCTGCACTAGAATTCTGTACCACATACTGCTTTTGTGTTATTCTTGCTATCAATTTGAGAAAGCAAATATCTTTGTCCCAAGTTTGGCAGCTGCTGCATGTCCATGTCACATGGCTTCTCAAAGTTCCAGAGAGACTGTGGCAGGGTCTGACAGATGGCATGGATTTTAGCAGCTCCTCTCTTCATATCCTTCTTCCTGCTATGCACTGATTTCATGATCAGTGTGCTCTTAGTGCAGCCCCAGAGGAAGATCTTGTTTTTCAGTGCATGCTCCAACACTGTTCAGACGTAGTAGCCAACTCCTGTTGAATTTGGTATGTGTAAACAACCTTGAGCTGGAGTATGAAGTGCAGATCTCAAATGGGGACCCCAGTTCATGGGGTGGATGTGTCATGGGTGCCCTTTGCTCTGCCCTTCTGGACTCAACAATCTCCAATTACATTTTGCTTAAAGAGGTAATCTTTAAAGAAGGATAGCTGCTGACAAACTCCCTAAGTTCCATAAGCTCCAGAGTTTGTTACCATGGCCTTTTTGATACTCTGCAAAGAAACACAGCTCTGCTGTGGTTAACGCTCTGCTTTGGTTCACTCTCTGCTGTGGATGATGCTTTTGCCTTCATCCATTGACAGTCAGAACAGTAGCATCCAGGTTGCTTCCTAGTTCTAGGAGTGCCTTGTTTTACATCTCTCTTCCCCTTCCTGATAACTCAGTCATGGTGAAGACAAATCCATAAGTATTTGGTTGGCTCTCTGAAGTTTTGAAGATGTTTGCCTGAGAAATATGCTGCAAGTTAGGGAGATATAACAATGTTACTGATGTTTTTTTTGGCAAGAAGCCTGAATGAAGAAACAGTACTCTCTGCAGGGGAAGTCTAGATTTTCCTGTCATACCCTGCTAAGTCTTCAGGTGCTGCTAACCCTGACCAGACAGGCAATGAAGGCAGCTGGGTCCAGGCATCTCATCAGCACAGTGTGAGTGTGTGTTGCTGTACTGTAGGCAGGAGCAGGATGCAGAAGCAGCCAGCCCCTTGTGAAAGGAGGAGGATGAGAAGACAGCAGAAGTCCTTCTAGGCAGGCTGCAAGGGGCTTTCCCAGAGAGCCTGCTTCTTTGGAAGGAGGGAATTCACGAACACGGGAGATATGATGGGTCGGTATCCGGCCAGATGGAGTCATGGCTAGGTCTTGGAGGTTATTCAGTACCAATTCACATAATTTTCTGGTGATGGAGAAGGGATTCCCTTCATGTTGGGATAGTGGAGGTTGACTTGTTGGTTTCTGTGTAGTGAGTATTCACGTGTGAATTGTTTGCCTCTCTTGTACCCTCTGTTATTAATTCTGCTGCTGTTACTTTCACTTTCCTATTTCATTGCTGTTTCCATTGGTCCATTCCAGTAAATTGACCTTATATAAACCCATGGTCTTTAACTGTTACATCTCCAATCCTCTCCATTCCACAGCTGGGAGGAGAGGGAGGGAAATGAGTGAGCAATGTTTGGTCTGGAATGTTTCAGTGGGAACACTGACGTGGGAACACCATTCCTAAACCACTACAACCTTATTGGTGTTTCACCTGAAACATGAAGAGCTGAGATAACAACAGATCTGGTAAGAGTGGGTGGGAAACAAGTGCTTGTTGTATTAGGTATGTCACAATGCTGTAACCTAACCCTGTATGTTTCAGTGTAGGCACTGTGTGCCCCTTGAGGTGCTCCTTTTTGATGCCGGCCGGGGGCTATTTACAGACGCAAGATAGGGCTGCTGTGGAAAGTGCCTCGAGCTGTTTATTTTTCAGCATCAGTCTCATTACATGATTATGACAATGGGAAGATGCTAGCAGCTCACAATCTAGGCAGCAGGCCAAAAATCTTAATGTTACAACTTACTTTATAAGCTTCTTCACCAATCACACAAAGCAAAAGCATATTGACAGTAGTTCTATCCAATCACCATAAACACATGTACCTTTGGTTGAAACAATGCTTGCTTATTTAGAATACAATATCTACTTGTAAGCCTTAAAACACAATGCACAGAGCTCCATTATTGAGCTTTAACCTTTGTAATATCTTGCTAGATAACTTTCTGCAGCTTAGAGAGCTATTCAGACAAGCGTTAATACACAGGCCATTGTTCTATTTGCCCTTGCTTTTTCTACAGTTTAAATAATTTTTCTGCTGACCTATCTCATGGCAGCTGCTTTAGCTCTACTCACAGTTCTGCTGTATCTGAGGCCTGCCTTTTGCAGCTTTCCCCAAAACCCTCTAATTTTCCCTCTAATTTTGTGGACTCCCACATCTTTTCAGAGCAGGGAAAGGGATCAGGATTGGTTTGTTGCTGAACTCTGTCATATCAGCTTATGAAATTATAACTTCAAGAGCAGTGAGGGTCATTTGTGATATATTTTCAGTGTTGGTCTTCTATCCTTACCTCAGGCACTGCCTTTAGGAAACCATTAACCATGTCCTGGCCTGTATCAGGTGCAGCATTTCCAGCTGGTCAAGGGACATGACTGTCCTGCTCTGCTCTGCACTGGTGTGAGGTCTCACCTTGAGTACTGTGTGCAGTTTGGGCACCACAACATGAAGCAGACATTAAGCTGTTACAGAGCATCCAGAAGAGGGCCATGAGGCCTTGTCAGGAGCTGCTGAGGTCAGCAGCTGTCTGTTCAGCCTGGAGAAGAGGAGACTGAAGGTTGACCTCACTGCTGTCTTCACCATCCTCATGGAGGGAAGCAGAAGGGCAGGTACTGATCTCTTCACTTTTGTGACCAGTGGCAGGACTCAATGAACTGGCATGAAACTGAGTCAGAGGCTAATTAGTGAGGTTTGAGCTAGATATCAGGAAAAGTTTTTTCACCTAGGGAGTGTTTGGGCACTGGAACAGGCTCCCCAGGGAAGCAGTCATTGCACCAAGCCTGACAGAGCTCACAAAGCACTTGGAGGCACACAGTCTGGCTCTCAGGCACAGGGCCAGGACTTGGACTTGATGATCCTAATGGGTCTGCTTCTTGATGGGTCCCTCGGCATATTGTATGATACTGTGTTTCTGAATAATGGTACCCAGTCTGTAAGCAGAACAGGGAAGCGTTATTTTCCCCAGATTTTCACTCATTTTTCCTTCTTGAGACCAGTTACAACAGCTTTGGAGGATTTTAAATTCCCTTTGGATATTAAGGAAATCATGCTTTTGTTGCTAAGTCTGCCAGGTCTCTTCAGTGCAATCTTACACCCTGATTAGAAGAAGGGATTCTTAAGAGGGTCTTTCAGAGATCTACCCTGAGGGTGGATAGTCATGATTGGCCTCTGATGTGGGAGAAAATGGGCCAGCTTTTGAAGGATTATTCTGCTCCAATGGCTTGGAAGTTCACCCCTGAACAGCTACAGGACCCTGTTAAGGTGGCAGAATATTTGAAAGATAAATGCTGTGGCAGTTACAGAGAAACACAAAGTTCTGCAATGTGCAGGGCCCTGTTTACTCTTTATCAGACACTGCTCTCAACACTAGACTTCACCCTTAGGGGGAAGAAGAGGAAAGCAGAACAACAGGCACTGTGGCCACTCAAACTTCAGCTGAACCCCAGGAACAACCCTTGCTGGTACCGGTTGTTCCTATACAGAAGAAGAAATTCAAGCCCAGACAAGTTTCCATACTGAAGAGGAAGCAGGGCCCTCAGAATGGGAAGCAGAAATGGAGAAAATCATCCTCTAACTACAAGGCATGTGAAAAATTTTCAGCCACCAGTCAGGAGAGTCCCTGCTGACCTGGGGGCTCTGGTGTTGGGGTATCACAGCCCATGATATGAAACTCTATGGTAGTGCAACCAATCAGCTGGGATCCCTGTCCCAGGATGTGGGCATTGACAAAGGGATTGAGGATAGAGCAGAAACTCTCAGTGGCAACTCCTGTCGAGTGTGAGGGAATGGTGACTACCTAGCTCTGGCAATATGAAGATCATCTTTTTATCCGCCCTACTGGCCTGCACCTTGGCTGTGGAAAGGTCTCTCTGGAGGGCCTCCCTGCCATTGAGGGAGTCAACATCTCCTTCCATTTTTTGTCATCTGTGAATTTGCCTAGTAGTCCATCAAG